TCTCTCAGTTTCACATACACACAGTCCTTGCTGCCATGAGCAGTGGGAGAAGGAGAGGCGGCCAGGGTCCCTAGTGTTGAGGAGGCAGGTATTCCTTTCTGCTTCCTCTGTGTGCAGAAGCGGCTCTAGACTTCATGACGACCTCTAACACAATTATCTAAAACTTATTTGTATAAATTATTTTTTAATGCAAAGCTTCTATGTCAAATAGTTTTCCTTATTTTTAGTTTGCTGTATATGTACATTGATGTATGCACCCCATATACACTTTAATACACATACATATAAACCACAGCTCATATCTCATACACACATAGACATGTGCACACTCATACACAGACACACACTGTCATGTACAGAGGCACGTAACAACATACACAGTCACATACATATATACCGGGTTATTAACAAAAATGAGGATTGTCAGGAATTCATAGTGGATTTCAAAGTGGATGACAGAATAGTCAAACTGGAAGCATTGTATTCCTGACAATTGTATTAGTGAATAACCTTGTCAGACATGAATAAGCACACACCATCACAGACACACATCATCACAGACACACCAAAACACAGTCACAAACATACACGCATTAACACAATTACAAACATTCATAAAAAAACACAGAGGCACATACATTAAAAGACACACAAAGTACCATACATAGACACACAACACACTCAGTCACATACTTCGACATGAAATCACAAACAGTCACATAACCCGCCCAGGATCGGCCATGAATGACATCTTGTTGTTCTCTATCCCTAAAGGGACTCTCCAGTGCCAGGAAAACAAACCGCTTTCCTGGCACTGCAGGTCCCCTCTCCCTCCCAACCCCCATCCCAGGTTCCTAAAGGGGTTAAAACCCCTTCAGTGACTTACCTGTATCTAGCGCTGATGTCCCTCGGCGCTGGGTCAGGGTCTGCCCACGCTCCTCCCCACCGACGTCATCCGACCGACCTATTAGACCTCCCCATAGGAAAGCATTGACTATGGAGATTTCAGCGATGCTGGAGGTCCTCATATAGCGTGAGGACGTCCAGCGACGTTATAACACTTTTCGTGTTATATGAACACTAAAGTGTCCTCTAGTGGCTGTCTAGAAGACAGCCACTAGAGGAGGACTTAATCCTTCAAGGTAAATATTGCAGTTTAAGAAAACTGTAATAATTACACTTACAGGGTTAAGGGTAATGGGCAGATGGGGTCTGGGTGCCTGGAGTGTCCCTTTAAGCCACTGTTCTACCCCAGAATATTCATTTACACTCTGTTCCAAATTATTATGCAAATTTTATTTGTGTCACAAAGATTAAATATTTAGTTTTTCAGTTTAACTCATGGATGGCATTGTGTCTCAGTACTCTTTTGATCACTGAAAACAATCTCTGACACCTGTGATAATTAGATTGCCAGGTGCGCCCAATTTAACCCCTTAAGGACACAACTTCTGAAATAAAAGGGAATCATGACGGAATATGTCCGTCATATGTCCTTAACCCCTTCAGGACGGGTCAATAGTACACGTTCTGATCAAAACAAAACGTAAACAAAAACTGGAATTTGCGCTATATGTATGTTCACCCGTAATTCACTGCTGTCACGTTAAGTGCACCCACACTTATTATATATAATTTTGTTCAGGAGAAACAGGGCTTTAATTTATCATTAATTATTCATATATGGAACATCATTTATTATGAATAAAAAATTTTTTTTAGAAAATAAGATTTTTTTTTTAATTTGTATTTCCGTCTGACATTTTAGCTGTTAATGTCATAATACTGTTAGGTATTACTGCAATAAAATGCACATATTTGTAATCAGCGATGTCTCACGAGTACAACAGTCCCCCCAAGTAACAGGTGTTTTGGAAAGTTACAGGGTCAAATATAGAACGTTCCATTTTCAAATTGAAATTTGCCACATTAGTAATGTTACCTTTGAGACGGTGTGGTAGCCCAGGAATGAGAATTACCCCCATAATGGCATACCATTTGAAAAAGTAGACAACCCAAGGTATTGAATGTGGGGTATGTTTAGTCTTTTTTAGTAGCCACTTTGGCCAAAGTAAGCTTATTTGTTTTTGTGTGAAAAAAGCAAAAAATAATATTTGGCCAGTGTTTGTGACTAAGTGGCTACTAAAAATGACTGGACATACCCCACTTGCAATACCTTGGGTTGTCTACTTTTGCAAATGGTATGCCATCATGGGGGTAATTCTTATTCCTGGGCTACCATACGCTCTCAAAGGCAACATAACCAATCTGGCAAATTTCAATGTCAAAAAAATGAAATGCAAGCCTTATATGTGACTCTCTATCTTTCCAAAACACCATAAAACCTGTACATGGGGGGTACTGTTATTCTCGGGAGACTTCACTAAACACAAATATTAGTGTTTTAAAACAGTAAAACATATTACAACAATATTATAGTCCATAAAAGTGCAGTTTGTTTGTAAAAAATTCAAAAAACGTCACTTTTACTTAAAATATCATCGTTGTAATACAATTTACCAGTTTGAAACACTAATATTTGAGTTCAGCGAAGTCTCCCGAGTAAAACAGTACCCCCTATGTACAGGTTTTTTGGTGTCTTGGAGAGTTACACGATCAAATATAGTGCTTGCGAATTAAATTCTCTGCACTTTCTCCTTGTGTTGTCAGGCATGTCAATCAAATTTTAATTAATCAAATCACATAATTATGTTAAAAGATTACTTAAATATACGCGTAGAATTTTAATATATATGCATTTATAGGTATTTAAATTCTACGTGTATACTAATGTAATCTTTTATGTAATTATATGTATTTATCTATATATATATATTTGCGGTTATTTGTATTTTATATATAGATAGATATATATAGAATATCATTCTAAGTGTATTTTGTTACCAATAACAAAATACAGTTAGAATGAAATTATATATGAATATATAATTTATATAAAATTTTGTTTCAATATTTTATTTATTTATTTTATTATTTATTTATTATTGTAATTATACGTATATATATAATATATGTGTATATATCTATTATATATATATTATATATATGTAACATCATTCTAAGTGTATTTTAATACTAATATATAATACTTATATTAAAATACACTATGTATGATGTTACATATATATAATATGTATATATATATAATATATATATACATATATTATATGTTTTATTATATTATATGTTTATAAATATATTTATTTTATTTTATAACATGTTTAATTTTTTATTTTTTTTTACTTTCCCACCAGCAGGGGGGCTGTCTGACATTTCAGACAGTCCCCCTGCTGGCAGATCCACAGCCAGCTATAGGAGGCCATGTGATCACTCTTTGAGAGCGATCACATGGCCCCCGGAGCCTCATTTGCCGTGGGAGGGCTGCCTGGGCTGTGAGGCAGTCCTCCCGAAGCGGAGCGCTGGGTAGGTAAGTATCCCGGGCGCTCCAGGGCTCAAAGCCGTTACGGCGTTCTATGCCGCCGCAACGGCTTTAAAGCCCACTTAATGCGAGACGGCATAGAACGCCGTAACGGCGTTAAGGGGCTAACTTGGGGAGAGCTAAGTAAATGCATAACAAAAAAAAAAAAAGGATATGAGAACTCTGAGAATGGACAAAAGCTTAGAGAAACTAAATAGCTTGTCTTTCGGTAAATCCCCACTCAGGTATCAAAATAGTTTTTTCTCACTTGTGCCATGACAGAGAGGACATATCTGAAGCATATCAGACTGGTCCCACCCGTAAGGCAGTCCAGAACCAAAATGCTGGCAAGTTCCATCTGCACGAGAGATACAGCAACCCCAGACGATCGATTAAGCCTTCCTTTGGGCCTCATCAGTGAGGTGTAGCTGATTTCCCCCTACGCACAGTCAGCACGGGGTTCATGTCTGGATTACCCTTTTAATGTGGGGATTGCCAAGTTAATACATAGCAACAAAAACAAAGGAAATGAGGAAAGACAAAAGCTTAGAGAATGTTACCAAGGCTGGACAAAGCTTTGTTTCCTACAGCTTTTCCAGCCCTTCTTCACGGAGGGTGGACAGGCATGCAATTGTCCCCATGGGCACTTGAATACAAGGGTTGTGGTCAACAACTTTGCAGCAGTACTTTTTTCCAGCTACAAAGTAGCTGGAGGTGTGTTGGGATACCCGTTGACATAGTACTTAAAGAGTGAGGCTCCAGGAATTGTGCAGGGCCTTTGCCAACCTGGCACTGCGTGGATTTGTACATGTGCCCACATACTCAACGCTCTCCAGGTCTGGATTGTTGCCCCAGTTGACCAGTCATCGTGTCTCTTCCACATTGCAAGATGCAAATATGAAAACTATACGTCCCAACCTTCAACACATGTTCTTCAACACACACTGTGATACTTCTTAAGACGTATTATTGAAAAAAAACCTGAGCTTTTCTGAGGCACAATGCTAATTTGTCCTACTTTTGCCATTTGATTTATAGATCAGCAAGACGTGTTAAACATTTGCTACACATTTTCTTAGTACTAGAAGAAATGGATCATATTATTTTTGTCATAAAGTTCAAGAATAGCATAATGCCTATTGTATCAGTTTCTTATTCATCCCAAGCAGTTCAATTTAAAACAGAATGTACCATACAGGTTCCCATTACCATGTAAATCATAGCAAGTTACAAAATTTACTGTCAAAAACTTGTTGCCTTGGCAATATTCTACAAATTTTCAGTAGCTGAGCAGTGAATGATAAAGTGAAGATTGACATCGACAGACAGCGTAGTAATCTACACATTAACTTCCTGTATCTTTCACAATAACATTAATCTAAGTAATAATATTGTCTCTCTTTGTCTTGATGCTACCGAAAGATTTTATATTTCAGATTGGGATTGTAGAAGAACTTTTAAATGAAACCATATATACATTTTTTGTAAGACATTATTATAAGATATTATTTCAATGTTATTGTCTTTTCTAACATACTATTCCTTTAAAATGTTTAGTACATCACATTGTATTTTTATTATCTTTGAATGTAAACATTAGTTTCCATACCGGTGGAAGCTGTACCACAAATGTTTGTTCTGTCTCTGTTCTGCGTCTTTCCTCCTGAACATTTACTCTTTCTTCTCTTTCCGGCTGTAGGTTTACCCTTTCTTCTTGTGAGTTAGTATATCTGCCGCCATACGTCCCTGATGAGATGGACCCCGGGGATCCTTTATGTGTGGATATAGTATTGATTGTGCTTCCAATCCGATTGTAAATGAGTGCTCCATTCTCATCTTCACAGAACTGGTTAACCAACTTGGACTCCAATGCTACAGCAAAAACAAATTTATATATCACTTAGTCTATACTTCATATTCATAGAGCAAAATAATCACATTATCATTTGATTTAAATATTTTTCGAAAATACATTTTCATATAGGCCTGGCCCTTACATACCAGACATATCTCCATATTTAAAAAAGAAAAGAAAAAAAAGAAGGGGGTGGTGGGGGAGATACAGCACTAACTCCAAAGGCAAGAAAAAGTCTGTAACTTGGATACCCCAACAATCCAAGATAAAAAGACAAAAAAAAACACACTGCGCCAAATATAAATCTTAACTAAGCGAATATAGGTATACACATATAAAATATTGTCAATATAATATGACTTAAATAGGAATATGATAAAACATCCCAAAGAGAAAGTCCTTATGGTACAAATATAAAACCAGCAGTTACACGTGGCCTTGTATATATTCTTGTTACTTACCTGGAAGGGTGTTAAAGTCATCAATCAAGTACATGTGTTCACTGTCTGGATCAGAGGCGATAAGGTTAAGTTCCCGAATGAAATCGAGTTGTGTTGGATCCGATGCATTGACAATTCCAATTGCATACATTTCTATGTTAGCAGCTTGAGCTTCACGAACTGCAATGTCCAGCTTCACTGCTTCTCGTTTGTCTGTCTGGCCATCTGTGAGCACAATGGCAACTTTGCGGACCCCTATTCTAGCTCCGAAAAATCCTTCTTGAGTAGCTTTACGTATTGCAGTCCCAGTGTACGTGCCTTCTCCCATGTACATCATTTTCCTTATAGCTTGCTTGACATCTTGCTGAGTGGTGAACCTGTTAAGACCAAACTCTAGACGAACCTCTAAACTATAGAGAACAAGTCCAATCCGAGTGGCATTTCTGCCCACTGTTACCCTGTCGACTAAAGCTGTGACAAAGTCTTTAATGATTTCAAAGTTTTCTGGTCCCACACTCTCTGAGCTGTCAATCACAAATACCAGTTCCATAGGTATCTCCTTACACTTTACTCCACAGCCTAAGATGAGAAAAAAAATTAGGTTTGATTAGATGCATATTTGTTTGTTCGTATTTGTTTGTTCGTATTACGAATATATTTTAAATGCTATATTTATAAATTGCAAACATATAACATTAATACACCCAACAACAGTAGACAGATGATGTATGTAGAGTTGGATTTTTACTGGATCGTGACATGCCAATCTAAAGAGAGAAGGGTTTCCCTGTTTTCTTTTTTTAAATATTAGGGATGTGCATGAGCTAAAAATTTGTTTCGTTTCGGAAATTCGGGTAAATAAAAAAATTCGGCACTTTGACAATTCGGTTCGGCACTTCCGAAATTCGTAGCTTCAGCAATTCAGCCATTCGGTTCGGCACTTCCGAAATTCGGAAGTTTGGCAATTTGGGACTTAGGCAATTCGGACATTCATAAGCATCCCTCTCTTGTTTTGCCACTTTTCAAAAATCAGAAGCACTTTGCCACCACAATCACTTACACATCTGTAGGGCTCCCTAACCCCTAACCTTAACCCCTAACCCTAAACACCACAACCACTTACATATCTATAGGACTCCTAATGCCCGGACTGCCACCTCAACCACTTACACATCTAGAGGGCTCCCAGTGCCAGGAATTCAAGATTCCTGTCATCATTCACATAATTTTCCCTCCCTTGTTTTGCCACTTTTCAGCAATCTGAAGCACTTCAGCACTTCCGAAATTCGGCAATTCGGTTCGGAAATTCAGAAGACCTCTAATTTAACCTGTTTGACTTGTTTTATTTTTGGAACTGACCATGACCATGACGTTTATAGAATTATTATTGTTTTATATGTTTTATTATTAAACTTGCTGGGGTGTTTTGTAATGACACCCCAACATCCCCCCTTTTCTGAAATGTTTTGGAAAAACAACAACACATTTTGAAGACGCAAATAACATGTGAAGCGGTATTCGTTAAACCTGGAATTGTTAAACACAAGTTAGAGAAATGCCAATTTTAGGTTAAAATAGAAATTCTGGAAAAATATTTGGAGAATTTTTCCAAATCAGTTATTGTGGCCAAAATATAAAATTTCTCTTGTCAGACACATACTTTTCAAAAATCATATTTTGGATGTTTAAAAAGTAAATAGAATAAAATAAATCTTACCACAAATCTCCTTTATCATCTTGATTATATCTTCTCTCTGTTTGATACAAAATTACTTATAGTTAGCATCTATACATTATGTGCCATATAACTGTGCTATTCTTCTATTTAATACCAAACTAGGTGTGTGACAGCTTTACGGTGCATCCCTGTAATCTTTGCAATTGCTGTTAGAGTATTACAACTCTATGTCAGATTAAAATAAAAAGCACAACTCATGGGAAGGAGGTTTAATTTACACCTGTGTTTTGATTCAAATCTTACATTCAGCATACAATAAATACTGGAAGCTGAACTAATAGCCTGCACTTTATTAGGTCATGTGTGCCAAAATTGTGGTTAGCGTAATTTTTTTGAATGAAACAATTTGCAAAACTCTTCATCTGTATGCCCACCCTCTCACTCACAGACCCCACATGAGGAAGCTTATCCTTCCCATTTACATCAGAGTATGGTGTGTACATCTGGGTGGGCCCATGCTAAACAAGTCTTCACCGCTAACTGGTGTAATATATTTTGTAATTTGAGGTTACCGCAGAATGCTACAAACCCAGGTAACTTGCAACAAACACAGATGAATATATATTTATTAAAAATTAAAAGAATGTGGGTTAACCAATATGGATGACCAGAAATGCCATGTATTTTTTAATATTTTTTCTGACTTGTTATCCTGAGAAGACAACTTGTTTACTCGAGATGACAAGTCAGAAAAATATAAAAAATACAAACCCTCTCTGGGCTTCTGTAAACTAATGCCTGCTGTGCATGTTTTCACAATGTTTCCATATTCTGTCTCACTCATATACAGTATAATACAAAGATCATATACAATTAATTGTGTGTACACAAAAATAAGCCTTTGCTATGACTTCTGAAGGTACAGCTAATGTCTTTCACCAACATTCACATTAAGATGTCATGCAGGTACTGGTATTTATATAGCGCCAGCATATTCCGTAGCGCTTTTCAATATTATCAAAGGGGGAGATTTAACAATAAATGAGACAATTACAAAAACTTGCAGGATCAATCGGTTGAGGAGGGCCCTGCTCAAACGAGCTTACTGTCTATAGGAGGTGGGGTGTGAAACCCATCAGGAGGTAGCAATCAAACAAGGTGGAGTGAAGCAGAGCTGGAGGAGAGAATAGAGTGTTGCCCTTTAGGAGAGAGCAAGGGACAGGTAAGTAAGTTAGAGGTTACTCTGGGAGGCCATAAGCTTTCCTAAAGAGAAGGGTTTTAAGGCACTTTTTAAATGATTAAAGACTCGAGGAGAGCTTGATGGCAGGCTATTCCAAAGGAAAGGAGCCACCTGCGAGAAGGCCTGCAAGCGTGAGTTAGCTGTACGGGTGCGAGCAGCAGACAGGAGAAGGGCACGGGCAGAGCGGAGAGACCGTGTTGGGGCATACCCGCGGATCAGTGAAGAGATATAGGAGGGGCTAGAATTGGTCAGTGCTTTATAGATATGGGTTAGTACCTTGAATTAACTCCTATAGGATACAGGAAGCCAATGTAAGGACTGACAGAGGTGAGAGGAGTGAGAGGAGTGACAGGAGAGGAAAATCAGTCTGGCAGCGGCATTCATTACAGACTGTAGTGGGGCAATAAGACTTGTGGGAAGACCTATTAGGAGAGAGTTACAATAATTCATGCGAGAGATTACTAGATCATGGACAAGCTCCTTAGTAGCATCTTGTGTAAGAAAGGGGCGGATGCGGACTATGTTTTTAAGGTGTAATCTAAAGGATTTGATAACAGACTGGATGTGAGGCTCAAGTGTGAGGCGATAATCAAGCAAAACGCCAAGACAGTGCGCTTTCAAGGATGGTCTGATGTGGGTACCACTCACTTGAAGGAAGAGAGAGAGAGGGGGATCAGTATTAGGTGGAGAAAAGACAAGGAGCTCAGTTTGAGAGAGATTGAGTTTCAAAAAGCAGGAGGACATCCAATCAGAGATGTAAATCATATTTACAAACATGTAAATCAGCACTAAGTTTCCACACATTGTTTTTTTATTTTTTTTATTTTATTAGTCTCTTATTAAATACTTACTGTTAATCCTGCTTCTCCTTTAAATCCAGGCCGACCCTATGATAAAAGCAGATAAATAAATATACATAAATATTCCAAGTTTAGAAGTAACAGTGCTTCACAGGCCGTCCACCATCTATGGTACTACAACAAACTAGCAGAGGGCTTGGTTGAACTCTCGAGGAACGAGAGAGCTTGTCTGAAACATAATAATCAGCCCCTGCATGGAAATATTGTAGTAAGAGAGTGAAAGAGCTTTCGAAATTTCTCTCCTGAAGTATACAACAAAGAAATGTGTGCATTGCATTCTTGGAATGTCTACCAATCAGAAGCTGGACATTGACCCCAGAACACCACCCAAACTTGGATATAGTTACAGCTACTCTAGTTGCCTTTAGATTTTGTGGGTCATAGAATAGAAATATAATACATAAGCACTATCTATTAAAAGATCGAGAGGGACTATATCCAGATGCATTCTCCATCATAATAAAGATGGGTGGAGGGGGTAGCATTCTAATTTAGCTGATTAAATTGAGCATAAAAAAGCTTACAGATTCTCCGGGTACTCCAGTCTCTCCTGTGTCACCTTTATCACCTTTTCTTCCTCTTTCACCAGCAGAACCACGATCACCCTAAAATAAATCGTACAAGACATATTTTCTATTTTCGTACACCAATTTGTCCATGAAAAGAAATATGTGCTACAATTCAGACCTTAGAGTCTAAATGGTAATAACATCACAAAACATTGTCAATATGAGTCTAAAATACATAAAATGCTGGTATTTCTCTAACCTTTGGACCTAAAAGTCCTTCTCCTGGAGGTCCACGAGGTCCGGATCCACCTTGAATTCCTGGTTCTCCCTAAAAGGTATAGGATGTATTATTATTGTATTTGTCTGTGTATATTGTATGTTTCTCCACTAATTGTACAGCGCTGCTGAATCTGTTGGCACTTTATAAATAGCAGTAATAAATAAAATAAAAATGTATTTATTAGATCCAAAGATTGCAGAAAGTAATTGTCATTAATATGTTCAAGGAGATGTATCAAGACACATGGGTGAAGGAATGGGAGGGATGAAACGTCAAATTCAAAATAAATAGAGGTAACCTAGCAAATATACTATATTTTAAACAAACTGAAAAATAAGAGTATTGATAGATAATCATGAACAGGTGACAAGTAAATCATTGGTATAAAAGAATTTGTCTCACCTTTGTTCCCTGAATTCCTTCGCCGGGTGGTCCTTGGGGCCCAGGTGGGCCTTGCTTCCCTACATTCCCCTTTATAGAAAATCAACACATAAACAATTAATGGTTTACCATAAATACATCTGCTTATCTACTGTTAGCGTTCTATTCATTTATTAAAACATCTAATAAGGAACACTCGACACCCTTAAAGCATTTCAGTCAATTAAATAAGGTTATTTACAAAACTAAGAGTTGTGAAGAATTGGCAAGGGAATTGCATTCTTCAAGGCTAAAATAGTCAAATTGGAATAAAATTAAATTTTCAGCAATTTTCAGCAAAAAATTATATTTGAAATTTCCTTGTTAAATCCCACGATTTGCTGTATAATCATCTCTGATTAATTTTTCCAATTTCCCATGTTACTACAATGCAAAAATAATTTCTAGAAGAGTTATAAAGTTTACATGGGAATGTCTACAAATTATAGTTTAAAACAATATCTTTGCAAACTTGACAATTCGCCATTTACTGAAATTTCCACCAGAATGTTATAGGAGTATTTCAGAATGGTCAGAATTTGTTCATATTATTAACACGGATAATAAAAGATAGGAATATGATTTAACACAATTTGAGCTGTAAAGAGATAAATACGATTAAATGACCTACCCTTGGTCCTGGTAAACCTTCACCTGGTGGTCCGGGGAGACCAAGAGGTCCTCTAACACCTTGATCACCCTGTTGATGAGATAAATATGATAAACTGGCATCACAGTCTTTTTTAAGTGAATAAAAATACAACATCAAGTAAAGCGAGATTCACACCCTAGAACATTGCACATGGTTTCTCATTCTCTTATTAAACCCCAATCTCCTCTTGGGATGGTTATATTATCAGAAAACGATGAAAGCAGGACTTGTTTCTTGGCTACAAGTACAATGCAGTGGGCATTTTTTTGTCAAGGAGGACAATCGGCACAACATATACATATACATCCCTGCGAACAACACAGTGCTTCCCATCTCCTTGTTCTGCACTGATCCAGAGCTCAAGGGGCTCAAAAATACAGTGCTGTAGAGAAAGAGGGGTAGAACGAGGTTGAAGGAACGTGCCAGGAAATATTTGCAGACTGCTGACATTTTGGAATCTCTACTCCAGCGGCATAGCTAGTTTCTAAAAGCTTCAGCCCAAAGCAAAATGTGATATCCCCTGCAGTTGGCTTAAAAATAATATTATTAACAAATATTACCTTAGGTCCTGGTAATCCAAAGCCTTCTGATCCAGGATCCCCCTGAGGTCCAGGAAGTCCAGGCACTCCCTTAGTTACAAAAAAAAAGATCAATTACACCCAGAAAAACAGTAAAAACGCTAATTCATACATACATATATATATATATATATATATATATATATATATATATAAATAAATATTAATAAAAATTGTTTGTGTCTGTGGTATGTAAAAAAAATCATCTAATCATCTGTTGTGACATGAAAATGCAAATAACGCATTAAGTTCTAAGTAAAAAATAAAACAAGATTAAAAAAAGGAAAATTGTACATAAAGTCTCCAGTTTGGCTTCTACATAAGAAACAACAGCATCCCTGTTTTAAATTGAATAACATTAATTGCAGACTGATCCCCAGTGAGGTGTTTGCAGCATTTGGTTAGCTCTTCCAAATATTTATAGAACATTATTGATTCAATTTAAAAAGAAAACAATTCAATTTGAGAAAATGAAGTTAAAAAAATACAAAAGACAAAAAAAAAAAAAGAACAACAACTCAGCAATAATTATGGCACTACAATATTGTTTTTGTCTCTTTAAACTGCTGCATAAACAAGGCAAGGTGTTAAGAGTATGTGCAGGGTACAGAAGTGTACTCCACACTTTTTGCTGGCTTATCGTAGCAGAGTTAGTGTTTATTATTCAGTAAACCCTTTCTGTACTAAGAGATTCCATAACTTTCTGTACTAAGAGAGTCTAAGATAGTCCATAACGCCTCAAGTACAAGTAACCCTTAACATTTACAATGAGAGTAGGTAATCACTTACTGGTAAGCCTGGGTACCCATCTCCCTTTGGTCCAAATGGTCCTTGTGGCCCTGGATTTCCTCTGTCCCCCTGTGGAAAACAAAATAAACACATTCACTCTTTCCAAAACTATTACATTTATATTTATCTAATCTATAAAACCTATTTTTTAGTCTCTTTTTACACCATGTTTAACTGAGCTGATTGATATCAGCAAAACAATTATATAAAATATTATAAAGACAGATTATTTGATATTATGCAATCTTTTCATAGCTTGATACCAGTTCTAAATTATAATGGTTTTGGTGTTTTTAACTTTAGTAATAAGTAATAACTCATAATTCTAACCCAAAATAAAACCTGCCTTACCTTTGGTCCTGCAATTCCAATTCCCGGTTCTCCTATTAAACCCTGAGGACCAGATGGGCCAATGTCACCCTTGAATAATAAAACACAAAATATAAATATTTAAAAAAATGCATGATCTAACGCTGCCTTTCCTCCTATAGGCAGAGTAGCAGGACTTAAAGACAAAAAAAATTAACAATATTTGGAAAAGCTTTCACATAATTTATCTTAAGTGAATACAATGTAATGTGATATTTACATAAACAGAATAAACTTGCTTTATTCTACTCACTTATTCTAGTCATATTGAGTATAAAATGAGAAAAATAATTCCATAATCAAACTGCAATATTGATTAACATAAGTCTAAAATTGATAAAATTGTATAATATTATTTACTGTTGAGTACTTAAAAATAAAATTTCTATATTTAAAGGGACACTATAGTCACCTGAACAACTTTAGCTTAATGACGCAGTTTTGGTGTAGAGAACATGCCCCTGCAGCCTCACTGCTCAATCCTCTTCCATTTAGGAGTTAAATCCTTTTGTTTAAGAACCCTAGTCACACCTCCTTGCATGTGACTTGCACAGCCTTCCATAAACACTTCCTGTAAAGAGAGCCCTATTTAGGCTTTCTTTATTGCAAGTTCTGTTTAATTAAGATTTTCTTATCCCCTGCTATGTTAATAGCTTGCTAGACCCTGCAAGAGCCTCCTGTATGTGATTAAAGTTCAATTTAGAGATTGAGATACAATTATTTAAGGTAAATTACATCTGTTTGAAAGTGAAACCAGTTTTTTTTTCATGCAGGCTCTGTCAATCATAGCCAGGGGAGGTGTGGCTAGGGCTGCATAAACAGAAACAAAGTGATTTAACTCCTAAATGACAGTGAATTGAGCAGTGAAATTGCAGGGGAATGATCTATACACTAAAACTGCTTTATTTAGCTAAAGTAATTTAGGTGACTATAGTGTTCCTTTAATTTGATATATCCCAGGATATGATAAAATCCCATACTCGTACCAATAGTATCTCTACTCTGTATGTGTTACATGCAGTACTTGGAAAATTTACATTAACAAACCATGGATCTAATTAATAATATATTGTCAACCAAGTAGGATATAGAGTCTTTGATTTCACTGACTACATTTCCTTTATTTCTATTTCACATCAGTCACTGCAACTTGCATAGTTCTCTCCATTCGATTACAGGCACACACATATCACCAAACTTATTTACTCATATTGCAATCTTGATCAGTATTTGAGACTCATCTTACCTTAGGCCCAACGATTGCACGGCCGGGAGGACCTGGAAGCCCTAACCGTCCCACTGCACCTGGTTCACCCTAAAATTGGGAGAACACATTATTTATAAATAATAAATAATACATGCTATTGGACCATAAACGAGGACCGTCACCCTACACGACCACAATGTCAACCAACTCCTGCATGTTTTCCAGCTGACAAAAAGTACATTGTTTCAACCTCTGGAATAATAGGTTTTACAGAGACAGTCCAGTATTGATGATATTTTTGTGCTAAAAATTGCAGGTCTATGTCATATTGGAAACGGTGAATTGACATATTATAATAAGTGTCTGTTTAAAGTGAGAGTCCCTTTAATATCCAATTTTTAAATGAGTTTTATTGAAATTGAAATGACCATGAGTTACTGGCAAGAACAAATTGAATTTCTTTTGAAATATGAAATGACCTTTGGTCCAGATGGTCCGGCAGGTCCAGGAGGTCCTGTTAATCCGCGGATACCTCGCTGACCTTGATCCCCCTGAAAAAATGTAAAATAAGAATTTACAAATAAAAACTTATAATTCTGCTAGTATTGTAACCATGGAGAGAGAGGCACAAGTGAAGTACTTTTGACAAGGAAGAAAACCATTTATGTGGACTGTTGGAAAATCCCTTTTTAAGAAAATGAATTTACTTCATGTCAGACTACCTTATTATAATCATTGTTACATTAATAAGCAGCAATTATTTGATGATACATTGTATCTATGATTTAGTCAGTCTTCATTGACATCTGTTTAAAGTGAACCCGTCATCCTCAAAAATATTAAATGAAAAGGTAAATTCACTTTAAGTTAACGTAACCTATACTTTGTGCTACTAATACTGGAAGCAAATGTAAATATGAAGAGATATATTTATAAGACGTCTCCCCAAAAGATGTGCTCAGATGCTCACTTATAGTCACCCTCCAAGTGCTCAGTGCTGTACAGTTGGGGATGTGGAAGAAATTACATTTAGGCACCGGTTTCAGAAGTGATTTTTATCTTTACGCTTATAGTGTGGAAGTTAAATTATCTTCATTTACCAGCAATTTTCTTTATACATGCATATATAACAGTATTTATCACATGTAGTGTTATACTATGTGATTTTGGCAAGACAGGTACATGTCATACCTTCAGCCATATTAAAGTCCATATTAAAGGACTGAACTTTCATAGAAAATCTAGGTTAAAGGAAAACTCCAAGTACCACAGTCTCTACTTTGTCATTCAGTGGTTATGGTTTCAGGATTGCCCTGTGCCCTCCCACACTAAGAAGTCAAACTGTTTAAATGTTACTTTAATTTAGGTCTCCTTTATGTTAAGTTAATAAATAGTGGAAGCCAAGGCTCTCCCCTATTTGACTCACTTAATGTACCTCTAATATAAATGCTTTGTGATAGCTTTGTTATATCATTATTATTTTTTATTTATTTATTATATTTCTATTATTTTAGAATTTTTCATCATGAATCAACAAGGCATGTATCAATATTATATCTCATATAAGGCGTTTCAGAAATAACAATGTTTCCAGTATTCTAACAAAGTTGGATCTAAAATGTATTACAAAGAAACATCACATGACAATACATATTCAATCAATATCAAAGTTACAGATATATTAAAGTTTCATAACGGTAATAACATAAACATAGAAGTGACTGTCATATCAGCGTTTGTGGCATGTGTGTTGGTTTTGCCTGGATGTGTGGCGACCTTTGGGTCGTGGTGGTGAGTAGATGTCATATATGTCATCCACGGTTGTCATATGTCAGGGTGGCAGTGCGAGGACTGGGACCCAGTATGCCTGATGTTCAGAGTAGGAGTCACAGTGCGGAGGTGGATTAGCAGGGTCTGGTGCAGGGTAACCGCAAGCCCCCTGGTGTTGAGCACCAGCGTTTGTGCAGCCAGAACCAGAACCCTGAATCAGCTTATGCGGATCCCAGGAACTAGGAGCAGGAATTAAGCAGACCTCCCAGAGCTGAATAGGGAGGCTCTGCAGCAAGAATGCATCCAGTACAGAAACAAGGCAAGACTAGAGATAGGCATCTTACATGAAAAACAAGACAGAACTAGTAGAACCCAGAACCAGAGAAGGATAGGAAGCTAAACCCAGAACATGTACACAAGACACGAGGGAAACATGAACATAACATGGGCATGACTGGACAGGACTGTACATGGACTGGGTATACAAACTAAAACAAGACAAGATAAGATAGGCAAAACAAGAGGAGAAATAATTAAGCACTATATATGAAAATCATGGGGATTTAGTCACATTATATGATCATACATTGCATAAGCCTGCCAACAACGCCAATGTACCCCATATCTGGCAGGTCCTACACATATATAGCACTTACCTGCAAGAAAGGGCAGAAGCCTTGAGCAGCTGCCTGCAGGACACTGAAACAAAAGGAATGATGGAAAACAAACGGGTGTGGCAAATAAAACAAACATTTAAAGGAAACCTGGAGACTGGGAATTCCAGGGACGGATTACAGAAATGAACCCAGAAAAACCCAGCATATAGAAAACCAGACATAGAATAGAAATAGAAATAGAACCAAAAAATCCGCAGCTAAGAACAGGATGTGACATCATATAACTTAGTATTTAGTGGCTTGGCCTAGTGAGTTCCACGTCAGTTCTTCGAGAACACGATAGTGTTCTATTTTCATAAACCATTCCCTCTCAGTTTCTTTTCCATTTAGTTTTCCAGCACATTATGATGGTGGCCTTCGCCACAGTAAGCATGAGCATTTCATGAGCATCAGTGTGCATTTCAACTTAGTCAAAGGCAGATTTATTCTAAAAAATAATAAAGCATCCACCTCATGTGGAATATGTTTACCAGTTACGGTCTATATTGTCTCCCCACTCGACTTCCAGAAGTCGGAGACCCTCTCAAAAGTCCATCAGAGGTGATGTAGGTAACCTCTTGACTTTCCACATCTCCAGCATAAGGGGGACGATGTTGGGTCAAAGTGGTGGATATCTGTCGGCATGAGATACCATCCCGAGGCCAATTTACATTTGACCTCGTGTAGAGATACGCTGGAATGCACGTGGAATATAGTGCGAAATGTTTCAATCCTCTTGCTCTCTCTTATCGGATACCCTAACAGGTGTTTCCATTTTCCTGTTTAGTGTGCAAGTGTGGGATGCATTTTGAAATGAAGTAGTCTATCACATTTGGAGATAGTTTTGGGTAGCGTAGTCTTTTTAGAACACATTTGTTTAAATTCTGTGTTGTCTCTAATGCTACTGTCGGGGATATTGAGCGTTCTCAAGAAGTGTTTTAGTTGAAAGAACTACTACTACGGCTGGAGGTTGTGGTCCTGCCAGGTCAGTAAATTGTTTCAATCCCGATTCTCCCCACATACTTTCCAGAGGTGTGTAAGGGACATTGTCTAAGCTAGATTGTACTATAATAATAGGCCATGTGATCCGGATGGGAAGAGTAAGTTGTGAGAAATGGGATATCTAGGTGAATGTGATGATGATATCCCCGCAAGTGAAAGTATTTTCTTCCATACCTGTAGTTATAACATTATTAATATTGGCATTTATATAGCACCAGCAAATTCAGCAGTGCTTATATATGCAACTATACATGGCTGTATCTGTGCATCTAACTATATATAAATATATTAAATGTAGACTATAACATGACTTATAGTCATATATTTTAATATACACAGTCCTTATTTGCCAAAGATTAAATGGTATGACATGCAAATCTGAAACGTAATAGTCATAGTTTAGGAATTTAATGTAATATTACATATATTTTCTGTGCTCATACTAACCTTTTCACCTTGTATACCAATGCCAGGTGACCCCTCTGGACCTCTAAGACCAGGAAGTCCAGGCTCACCCTATAAAAAAGAATTCACAAAGGGTTAGTATTTCTTGAGTTCCATATGTATTAAACTGGAGATCTGGTTTATTTTTTTTTGGGGGGGAGGGAGGTTAAAACTTGGGTAGCTCGGAAGAGTGAAGAAAACAAGAAAAATAAACAAAAAATAGGGCAAAGGAAAATATTGAGGATCAGATCAAGGGCAGAGGGAGGATGGGGTAAAGAAATGCAGATTTGTTAAGGCTCTTGCTGTTTTTCCCTGGATTCTTCACTTAGCTTAAGGCTAGAGTTCAGTTGACGTGGAGGAAGAGCATGTACGTGCATAGAATTCACAGTTTATCCCAGTTTTAATGCAGGTTTCTATGGTTAACGGTGACTCTCACATTCTAATTGACTTTCATTGACTCTTTACTAAAGTTACATTTCAAAAAGAATTTCATATTTCACATTGGCTACTTTGGCATTAAATTTGAATTTCAATCTGATTTAACTTTGAATTTTCACTTTAGAAAATAACCCTGTCTGTTACAATATATGCCCTGTGTTGCTGTTACTCTGAATAATCCTTATTGATTTCTTATATCAGTAAATTTTAATCCCTCTGAGTTCATTTCATGTTCTGTCATTAATGAGGGTATCATTAGTTGCACCTAATTTTCTACCACTAATTATTTAATTAAATAGTGAACACAAATAAATAATTAAGTAATGATCATCATTCTCAGTTAGTTACAGTACACAGCATCCTGATAGCAGGCAAACCTTAAACCTAAGCTTCCATAGCCCACCTAACACTATGCCCCCTTTACTGTACGTCAGGACTATCACTCCTAGCACTGCAATATAAGTCGTTAAATTCAGTATATTAAGGGGATGCTCTAAACACCTATTTTTAATATAGCATGTCCCAGCAGGCTAGCTGCTCAATTCTCCATCATTTAGGAGTTAAATCACATTTGTTTCTGTTTATAGGGCCCTAGCCACACCTTTCCTGGCTGTGACTCACTAAGCCTACATGGAAAAGTTTATATTTCAATCAGATCTTACAGCACAGTGTGTTTATGTTAAATGTTTTTATCTCCCGTTCTGTTAATTGAGTTTTAATCACACACAGGACACTCATGCAGACTAGAAGGCTATTAAAAAGCATGAGAAAAGATAAAGGAAGTTAATAAAGGAAGTTTAAACATTAGATCTCTTTACAGGAAATGTGTAAGAGGCTATGTCGGTCACTGCCAGGAGAGGTGTGACTAGGGCTGCATAAACAAAATGACTAAATTCTTAAATGGCAGAGAATTGAGCAGTTAGACAGCAAGGCCTAAGGTAGACACTACAACCACCCCATTAAGCTAGAGTTGTTTTGATGCTTATAGTGTCCCTTTCATATTGATATTTTTAAACTGTATAGATACTTATTGAACAGGTTGTGAAAAGTTGTCACACAATACCTTTTGTCCTGGTGCTCCATCCTCCCCGGGAAGTCCTGGCAAACCTGCCATTCCAGACGATCCTGGCTCACCCTACCGTAAAAACAAAAAACTGATGAAATATTCCTGCAACTCGAGATAGGACCTGGGAGCACAAGCAATCAAGCAATCTTACTGCAAACAGAGAATAAACAGTGTGCAATGCCTTTTTCTAAAAGAATTGAAGCATATAATATTTTATGCCATTTAAAACAAACTTGTCAGATGAAGAAAGCTTTCTACTACTCGACAGAGCATAAAAAGTTGATTGTGTTAATATTTTAAGGCTGAAAAACTGAACTGAAAAAAATAAATAAATTCAAGTGAGTTGGTCTGTTATACCCCAAAATGTAAAATTCACATTGAATTTTCACAATCCACAATTTATTTCCAAAAGGGGGGAATTTGTGGGAGTTGAAAGTGAATTCAAGGTGAATTTAAGTCCAAAATAGCTGAACTGGTAATAATATTCAAGCCAGCCATGTTCCAATTTTGGCTACTTGAGCTTTAAATATAATTTTTTCTATTTATTTTTCTCTAATTTGTCAGAGGGCTGGAACCCCTCGGTCTAGTGGTAGACCACCAGGATCTTCTTGGAATATATGGGAGATTTATATACAGCTTTAAATGTTAAATTCACTTTTAGTTTCCATCAATTCTCACTTGTGAATAATCCTGCCTCATAATGATTACCCTATAAAACCATTAATTCCAATATCAGTATTAAATCCTCTGACTCATAATAACTTTTAATTTGTTTGCTGCAGGAGTGCCCAAAAGGTATATCTCTGGATCTTTTAAAACTATAGCTTCCATGATGCGCTGTCATACTAAAGGCATTGTAAAGGCATTTAAAGCATCATGGGATTTGTAGTTCTACAACATCTGGGGATCTACCTTTTGGGCACCCCTGGTTTACTGCTTTGGAAAGTAAAGCTGCAGCAATTCTTTTGAAAACAATTACTAATATTCTGTTTGTAACTGTACATTTACAGCTTTTTTTTTTGTTTGTTCCTTTTTTTGCTATCTGTCACTTTTATTTTAATTTTTAAATTTTTTTCAATTCTTTATTTTTGCGGGTTACTGTAATAGTTACAACAGAATATGTGTATAACTGAGCGCATAAAAAAACAATAAAAATAGCATCAACAGAATACACACGTAGCTGGTAATTGTTGTCTTTTCTGTGGTTCTTGCAGAATAATCAATGCTGACACTCACTTCATATGAACAGCTTTTCTTCCATAAGTCACAAAACATAACATGCAGAGTCACTGCTAAACTCACAACATGGAGTGCTCTCCTAAGCCCTCCTACTTAGGAAAAAACTCCAGCCTCTTAAAGTATCACTACAATAATAACCCAAATTTTGTGATATATATATATATAACATTATAACAAATGTAATAATAACAAAATGGATCTCTCGTAAGATCCAAAAGGATAATAGCAATTAACTCTGGAGGCTGCAGGTAGTACTAGTTATATGCCTATAGGCTCATTATCGAGGGCATACTTAAGGCACTAGTTGGTAAGTGGTTGGCTTCTGGTAAGCCTTCGCTGTCTTGGGGTTGTGTCTATATTTGCCAATGCTAAACAGAAAAGGCCTAGGTGAGTTGAGTGTGCAATAGAAGCTTATCTGGACATAAAAACAGCATTGCAGGAACTTAGATATGGAGGGACTTAAGAGGGACATAAACCATTAGCTTACGTAGCCAGGCTATAGAAGTAAAAAATTCAACATAAAACTATGAACTCATACGGAGGAACATAAGAAAAATAAGATGTAGGCAACTGCAGCCGTGGGTATCAAGTCAGTCCCATTGGGCCGTTTTAGCTATTAATAGAACCTCCAACAAATATAACACAATGCTGGTGAAAATAACATGTGACCACTTTTAGATATATGTGCTATTATCTTTGTGCATCCCATCCCTTGTCTGTTCAGAGGGGTTTGTGGAATAATGGAAGCACAGTACACTAAACCAATCTGGAAACAGTAACATATATTTCTGTTTCTGACTTTGATGTTACCTTTGCACCAGGTTCTCCCAATCCTCTTTCTCCTGGAACTCCAGATTCACCTGGTAGACCTTGTTCTCCCTGTAACACAAGTAGGTAACATGTTATTTAAGTAAAATTATATATGCTCCACGTAGCTGTGTGTTTGATACCCTTGTTAACTGAATTTTATTATTTAGCTCAATAATCATGCTGATATTAACAGTAATGATCAAGAACATGTTCTGTCATTAACGGGTTACACTAAGCCTCTTTGGCTATACTTATTTTTCAATTTATAATGTCGCATTTGGCATTGTGCACCTGGTGCCCTTCTTATTTTAGAATAAACATGTAAAATAAGCAATAAATTTACCTGGAATCTAGGGATGGGGCTAAGCTCCCCTTGTGCGTCTTCATGCTCTGTGGTCCATTCAAATGCTTCTCAAAGAGAAGTATTTGATTGGATCATTCTCACCGGCTCAGAGCTCATGTGTGTGCTATGAGTTTTGGAGGAAAGGAAAAAGTAAGGAATGGACAGGGGAGAGAATTTAGAAAAAAATTAAAAATAAATAACGGAGGCATATTTAGGACTATAGGGAAGTGGGGAGGGACGAAGAAAGGAAGGGAGGGAAGGAGATGACATTTAGGCTTCTTCTTGCAGGCACACTCTCGGTTAGAAGCTCAATCCTGTCCACTCTGACGACAGATGTAATTTTTGAACAGATTCAACATTTTTTAGCCCTCAACAGTCACATGTGCCGGGGGTGTAACTGGCCTTTGCCACAAGAGTGCAGATATCTCTGCAGAAACACTACACATGAAGATTCCTACCACCATGACCACTTCTAAAACCAAAAGTGGTCATAGTGGTTGGAGTAACCCTGTAATTAAAATGACACCATCTTATGTTGTGATATCCCTATACTTTTATCCTTGGCATTCCTTTTTCCATGTCACAGGACTGATAGGAAACATGTAATTTAACAGTAATTATACATGCAAAGGTTATAGAAAGTATTTGCCGTCATTATTACCTTAGGTCCCATGAAGCCTTCTCCTGCTGGTCCCCTAACACCTGGTGGTCCTGCAGGACCTTGGACACCCTTTAAAATAAAATGAAATGTAATTAATTTTCCTTAAAGATATATTTGCAATATGTTTATTCATGGTTTATTAATCGTTCATGTTGTACAAGGATGGCCATGAGAATTGGACGTGAGGACATTTGTTTGCAGTTACTTGTTCCAAAATGACATCAATATCTTTCATTTTAGATGCATTGTACATTGTATTATCCATAAGATTAATTTTGGAAGAAATGACCACGATCTTCAGATAGCAAATAATTAGGCGATTTCTCCAGCACAATTAAATAATTATTAAAAATTTACTCTATCAATCAATATGTTTAATCTAATAAAAAAAAAAAAGAGACTATTATATGAGTAAAATGGCAACATCGGCATTACTCAAATGTCATTCAATTAGTTTTAATACTAACAAAGTTATGCATTAAAATGAGAATTGTTGGGAATTCAAAGTGAATTTTAAATGTAAGGCCATAATAGTGTAACATGTAATTCCCAAAGCCAACTATGCTTCCAGACTGGCTACTTTGGTCTTTAATGTAAAATTTACTCTGAATTCATTTTAAATTCCCAACAATTCTCACGTTAGTGAAAAACCCTGTATAGCAATAAGGAAACGGAGAATTTCACAAAAAGTAAACTCCATCACATAAGTGTGCAGAGATATCAGATTATATACAGGATGTTCTCCTCAAACTATGTGTTCTGAGTCTTTTTTATCCAGTCCTGAATATTTCTCATTCTGAACATATATTTGTATACATAGTATTATAATCTCTCTAGTGACAGTTTAAGCTCCACGAATTCCTTGTGATATGTGAGGAATTCTTACCTTTTCTCCTTGAATTCCTGTACCTGGTAAACCAAGAGGGCCAGGCAAACCAGGCGATCCGAAATCACCCTAGATAATAAACAAAAATATGGAAAGTAAATTTCAGAGTGACAGAAGACAATCTGTTATTTATTTATTTAGTCATTTTCTGTTACTAATCACATGATGTTCAGTCATTGTCAGTGTGTTGGAGGAAAGCAGTGTTCCAGTGATACTCAGTAACTGTGGTGGAGGATAGCAGTGTTCCAGTGATACTCAGTCAGTGTGGTGGAGGATGACCTGTGTTCCAGTGATGCTCAGTTATTGTGGTGGAGGATAGCTGTGTTCCAGTGATTCTCAGTCAGTGTGGTGGAGGATAGCTGTGTTCCAGTGATACTCAGTCAGTGTGGTGGAGGATAGCCAGTGTTCCAGTGATTCTCAGTCAGTGTGGTGGAGGATAGCTGTGTTCCAGTGATTCTCAGTCAGTGTGGTGGAGGATGACCTGTGTTCCAGTGATTCTCAGTCAGTGTGGTGGAGGATAGCTGTGTTCCAGTGATTCTCAGTCAGTGTGGTGGAGGATGACAAGTGCTCCAGTGATACTCAGTCAGTGTGGTGGAGGATAGCTGTTTTCCAGTGCTACTCAGTCACTGTGGTAGAGGATAGCCAGTGTTCCAGTGATTCTCAGTCAGTGTGGTGGAGGATGACAAGTGTTCCAGTGATACTCAGTCGGTGTGGAGGATAGCAGGGTTCCAGTAATGCTTAGTCAGTGTGGTGGAGGATGACAAGTGTTCCAGTGAAACTCAGTCAGTGTGTTGGAGGATAACAGTGTTCCAGTGATACTCAGTCAGTGTGGTGGAGGATGGCAAGTGTTCCAATGATAGTCAGTGTGGTGGAGGATAGCAGTGTTCCAGTGATGCTCAGTCAGTGTGGGGGATGATAGCCAGTGTTCCAGTGATACTCAGTCAGTGTGGTGGAGGATAGCAGTGTTCCAGTGATGCTCAGTCAGTGTGGTGGAGGATGGCAAGTGTCCCAGTGATTCTCAGTCAGTGTGGTGGAGGATAACCTATATTCCAGTGATACTCAGTCAGTGTGGTGGAGGATGACCAGTGTTCCAGTGATACTCAGTCACTGTGGTGGAGGATAGCAGTGTTCCAGTGATACTCAGTCACTGTGGTAGAGGATAGCCAGTGTTCCAGTGATTCTCAGTCAGTGTGGTGGATGATAGTGAGTGTTCCAGTGATTCTCAGTCAGTGTGGGGGAGGATAGCCAGTGTTCCAGTGATTCTCAGTCAGTGTGGTGGATGATAGTGAGTGTTCCAGTGATTCTCAGTCAGTGTGGGGGAGGATAGCCAGTGTTCCAGTGATGCTCAGTCAGTGTGGTGGAGGATAGCTAGTGTTCCAGTGATTCTCAGTCAGTGTGGTGGAGGATGGCAAGTGTTCCAGTGATACTCAGTCAGTATGGTGGAGGATGGCAAGTGTTCCAGTGATACCCAGTCAGTGTGGGGGAGGTTAACCAGTGTTCCAGTGATTCTCGGTCAGTGTGGTGGAGCATAGCCAACGTTCCAGTGATGCTCAGTCAATGTATTGGAGAATAGCCAATGTTCCAATGATGCTCAGTCAGTGTGGTGGAGTATAGCCAATATTTCAGTGATGCTCGGTCAATGTATTGGAGGATAGCCAATGTTCCAATGATACTCAGTCAGTGTGGTGGAGGATAGCAGTGTTCAAATGATACCCAGTCAGTGTGTTGGAGGATAGCAAGTGTTCCAGTGTTACTCAGTCAGTATGGTGGAGGATAGTGAGTGTTCCAGTGTTACTCAGTCACTGTTGTGGATGATAGCCAATGTTCCAATGATGCACTGTCAGTGTGGTGGAGTATAGCCAATGTTCCAGTGATGCTCGGTCAATGTATTGGATGATAGCCAATGTTCCAATGATACTCAGTCAGTGTGGTGGAGGATAGCAGTGTTCCAATGATACTCAGTCAGTGTGGTGGAGGATAGCAAGTGTTCCAGTGTTACTCAGTCAGTATGGTGGAGGATAGCGAGTGTTCTAGTGTTACTCAGTCACTGTGGTGGATGATAGCCAATGTTCCAGTGATTCTCAGTCAGTGTGGTGGAGGATAGCCAATGTTCCATTGATGCTCAGTTATTGTGGTGGAGGATAGCCAATGTTCCATTGATGCTCAGTCAGTGTGGCGGAGGATAGCAGTGTTCCAGTGATACCCAGTCATTGTGGTGGAGGATAGCCAGTGTTCCAATGATTCTCAGTCAATGTGGTGGAGGATAGCGAGTGTTCCAGTGATGCTCAGTCAGTGTGGTGGAGGATAGCCAGTGTTTTAATTATCATTGGTCTGTGTGGTGGATAATAATAAGTGTTCTTGTGATGTTTCCATGCTATGTAGTGGATGATAGTTATGGTTCCAGTGATGTTCAGTCAGTTTGAGGGAGTACTGTCAATGCCTTTATTATCCTCATTCTGTGTGGTGGCCGATAATTAGTTTTAGTGATGCTCAGTTAGAGTAGTGAGGAAGAGTTAGCTTTCTATTGATACTCAGAGAGTGTGGTATCATTGTTGGTGTGGTTTAACAAGTGTTCTAGTGATGCTTAGTCAGTGTAGTAGAGTATACTCAGTGTTCTAATAATCTTGTGCCAGTGTAGTGAAAAATATACAGTCTTCTAAATGGACAGTCAATGTGGATCCAGGACAGCCAGTGTTCCAGTGATGCCCTGTCAGTGTGCTGGAGGATAGGAAGTGTTCCTGTGGTGCCCAAGCAGTGTAATGGTGGATAGTCAGTGTTCTAGTGATGCTGAAATAGTGTAGTGGAGGATAGTCAGTGTTCCAGTGAGGCTTAGTCTGTGCTGTGGAGAATAGCCGTTATTCTAGTGCTGCTCACTTTGTGCAGTGGAAATTAGCCAATGTTCTAGTGATGTTCCATCAGGATGGTGAAGGACTGTCAGTGTTTTAATTAAGCTTTGTTCTTCTGATGTGTTGCCATTGTGGTGGAGAATACTTGGAACTCTTTCATTTATTCAAATAGATTTTATCTACATTTATTTTTATCTGTAATTCAATACAATTTTCATTTTACATCTATCTGGATTTTCTGCTGTTTACCACTGGGAGGAATTTTCCATACTATCTAGCTCAAGCATCCAGACCAGATATCCAGACCATCCACAGAGGGATTTGGATCACCCTAAAAAAGATCCTAAGGTCATCCACACCAGAGGCAGGTCCAATATTGGCTCTACTCTTTTGAGTGTATTCTTGCATATGTAACTATTTCATTTATGATTTAGAGTTATTTGCACTATTTGTATACCTCTCTGTCTCCACAGCATTGCTGAATTCATTGAAAAGAGAGGAAAGTATACTATTCGCTCTACCTATTGTGTTTGTTAATGGGGTGCAAGACTGTCTGTGATTTGAAGTGAACAGCCTGTCTTCTAGCTACCATAGTCTTTGGTTTTAAGGTCTTTGTTTACTGATGGTTAAAAGAAGTATGACCCACTAATCTGTAGTGGGGTTTAGTGAAAAATGCTTTATTTGATTTAATCATCTGAAAGCCAGACCCAAACATAATGTCAGTTTCTTAATTTACAATACTGGTGAAGTGATATGGTACACATTTACCATTAATGAAACATATCTGAATCCAACTTTAAATACTCACCTTGTCACCTTTAATACTAGATCCTGGTTGACCCCGAGATCCCCTGGGCCCTTCAAAGCCTCGGTCTCCCTGGAAAACAGAAATTGTAACACATATATGTAAAATGTTGCAATTTATTTAGAAGGAACCTCTTTTTTCATAATATTTTTTAATGAGGTTGTTTGGAATTATATAAAATAAGCTTATTGGTTCTTTTTCCACCTCATTTGCTCCTTGTTTTAAGGTAGGAGATCTTGGGGAGCCAATACACCTCTTTCACATGATTAATGCAGGCTCCAGCCTTTCAGAGCTTGGTTAATGTAGGTCTCCATCTTAATTAATGGAGGTTCCAACCTATCAGAACTTTGATAATTGAGGTTTCCATCTTAATCAATGGAGCTTCCAGACTATCAGAGCTTGGTTAATGGAGGTCTCCATCCTAAATAATGGAGGTTCCAGCCCATCAGAACTTGGTTAATGGAGGTTTCCATCTTAATCAATGGAGGTTCTGGACTATCAGAGCTTGATTTATGGAGGTTTCCATCTTAATAAATGGAGGGTCCAGCCTATCAGAGCTTGGATAATTGAGGTTTCCATCTAATTTAATGGAGGTTCCAGCCAATCAGAGCTTGGATACTTGAGGTTTCCATCTAAAGTATTGGAGTTTCCAGCTTCAACTAATGGAGAAGTCAGTCACTCAGATGATATTTCTCATGATTAATAGAAGTTCCAGCCTATCACTCAGTATTTCTCATGATTAATAGAAGTTCCATCCTATCAGTGAGTATTTCTCATGATTAATGGAAGTTTCAGCCTACCGGTGGGTATTTTTCATGATTGATAGAAGTTCCAACCTATCAGTGAGTATTTCTGTTTCAGCCTGTTCCTCTTGTGAATGCTGCACCCTTTGGTTTATACATTTAAGCTGGAGACAAGCTTCTGTTCCTCAGCCTGCTGCAGCAAAAAGTGGATGTCTAAAGAGCTGGGTTCTATTAAAAATGTACTTATTCTTCTTTTCTACTATGATATTTGTAATGCCCAATAAACTTATATTGAATACAAAATGTAATTTTTTTCATATGTATACTGTTTGTGTATCCTTTTTTTCTACTGGGTGTGACTTTCATTGATGTAGATGCCAAGTAGAGTCAGCATTACAGTTTTTGCTTACAGTTCTAGCATTCTGCTCCTCTATACCATATAAATATACACATGCACACAAGCACACACGCACACACACACAAACAAACACACTTACATATATTTATATTATACTTGTTATTTTTTTTGCCTATTTCCCTTATTGAGTAAAGACAAACCCAATTAACCAATGTTTATGAATTATTATAAGTATTTTCTCACCTTTGGTCCTTGCAGTCCTTCTCCAGGGGGTCCCCTTTCTCCTTGCATACCTTGTGATCCTTGGGGTCCCTATTAGAATAGAATTATGACTATGTAACAATTTCATTGTAACACCTAGGAAAACATTCTAGTACCTCACCCATTCAGCCTGCTATCTCGTTATAACGTGTTTAAATATAATACTGCTTTGTTAATAGGCCTCTTAAGGGCAATATTGCCCGCAGCGAGAGACGTGTATTGCTGATGATAATACAAAACTTGCTAAAACTTTGGTCTTCAGGTGTTTTCATCTGTTAAAATGATGGCATTGTTTTCTATTCTTTTCATTTCATCAGCCGTTGTATTTTTAATATTGTGTATTAGACTTGCTCTAATAGTCTTACTTTTACATCAGATTATATGACACTAAATCCGCTTCTAAAAAAAAGTTAAAAAAGGTATTTTTTTCTTCCCTCCTGAGAACATCTGTCAAATACAAGATAAATCACCAGAAACCTGCCGCAGCATGATTTAAATTTAGTTGGATTACTGAGTTTGTGCATTCCACTTAAACAGGTTTCTACTGAAAAGAAAATATTGATTGCAATTCTCTTGATAATCATGTGAATGGCTTTAATAATGCATTTAGCTGTCATAGTATAAAATTGGTGTCATACATCAAAAAAGAATTTAATTCAATTTATGATATATATCTTTCATGTTAAAAAGAGTTTTATTCATAGCTTTATTTTAATTAAATCATTCTTTTAACCTGAAAACGAGCCATAAACCAGAGCCAAATAAACACTACAGACATATGTTGAGTTAAAAAAATAAATTAAAAAAAATCCCGTATTTATGGAACATATTACTATGGTGGCTTTTTGAACTGCATGTGATTGTGAACTACATTGTACCCACAAGGTTGCTTTAGCATCATGGGTAACGTAGTTTACAAATATTTGTAGGACAAAGACTACTTGCTCACAGAGCAGGGTTAACCATAAGGCAACCCTAGGCAGTCGCCTAGAGCCCAGAACCATGAATTTGCTTGACCCCATGGTAACCTGCCTAGGGCCCGAGATTCTTAATCCTTCTCTTATTGCTGACTTAGAAGGGGTAAATGGCTGTCTAGAGGGCTTGTATACAGCAAGTTTTGGAAACTTATCTACTCCTCTCCATAATGCCCGATTTATTTTTGAAATCTTTTAATTTTCATATTACATTGTACAAGTAACATTTTGAGTAATATGAGTACATTGAGGATTTCAATATATAAATTAATAATACATGAGTTTTTGCTGTCTCCCTGGCTATCTCTTTCTCTGTCCATTTGATAAATTCCATTTTGTTAATTTAGCACTATTTAATTTGTCTCCTATGTTGGAATAGTGTAGGACCCACTGATATTGGGGTACTGTGGAGTAGTGGTGGGCTTAACACGATATGGGCATATGGTGGAACCAAATCCCCATATTTGTTTGCTGAAATACTCGATTTTAAGTAGCCTTATTTTAAGTAACTGTGTTTTTATCTGTATGCTGTTCCTTAATGTATATTTTGTATAGATTTTCGTCTCTACGGCAGCGCCTTTCCTGAGAAATGCATGCTTCGAGTGTGTCCCCAATTCCCTTTTTTTCTTTACAAAATTCCAGCATAAATTTTTTCAATAAAGTTCATGTCAGTGAATATAGTTAGCATTTTAATAAGTTGATTTAATTGCATTTATGTGTTTTATCCTTCAAAAGAAAATACAATACACCTGCTTTCAAATTTGTTTTGTCTTCTGAGGAAGATATGCACATCTGTGCTGATACAACTGCAATTTGCACATATGTTCAAAGCCAATAATAAAACCATAACACATGGAACACATTCTAGAAGCTTGCACTCTACGGTTCAAAATAATATTCTTGCCTCGTTACTAATTTGCGGTCCCAATATAGAATCAATATAAACAGCATTCACAGATCTTGTAATAACAACAGCTTAGTCTGCTGCCTTATTCCATAGCAATTGGATAACAGTGTAAAAACAATGGTTTATTCAGTGTTTCAAGTCTTTGATACTATATATAATCTGACATATTCACTAATAATGTATCACAATCAGTGCAACAACTGAAATACTCACTGCAGGCCCAGGTTCCCCTATTCCTGGTGGACCAGCTGGTCCCGGTCTTCCTTGTGACCCAAAGTCACCCTTGAAAGAGATGTTTTAAAGACGTTAAAGATACTTTTAGATAGCATATCAAAAACTATAACAGACTGGTTTTTTTTAAAGCAATGAAATTTATTGATAAAATATTCAGATTTCTTACTGTCTCTTTGCTCGGGTCATATAAAATATTGCTGTTTCTGTGCAATGTCTACATTTGTCCGAGAACATGCTTCTAGTCAGACAGATGGTCTTTAAGACCTACTTTTGAAGGACTTAACATTCAGGATCATAACACACATCATCGCACCAAGAGCAGTTAATGTCACCTATGTCCTTTGGGTCATCAAAGCTTCTCTAGATTGCAGTAGATTGGTCCAAACATGATGAATGTGTCTGGGCAGGGGGTTACAGAAAAGTTTAATTGTTTTCTACAACACTTTTTTTTTTGTTTACATAAGGGGTGCCTATACTATATATAAAAAAGAAACACATCTAACATGAAAATTAATATATTTTTCACGTTATAGTGTTCTTTTAATGTTGGTTAATGCTGAATGATGTTGAGACCCGTATGATTTATTTGAGCAACGTGTTATTAAAGTTCTATTTTGCCAGTGAATGGTATATGTATTTACTTTGTTAGCATTGCTCAAATATCACTCTTGACTGAAACATTTTGCATACATTAGTAATAAAATAACAGATTATCTGAAAATACAATAAAAGGGCACATAACATATTATTGGAGTCATTATATAATTTAGCAAAACTATATCAAATTATAGAATCGGATGAGATCCATATAAACCCTTAAATCATGTAAGATTAATCAAGATTGATTTTGCAACTGGTAGGTGTCAAATTGAAGAGTATGTTGGCGTTAAGCCGTAAAACTATCCATATAGCAAATACATTAGACTGAGGACATCCAGATGGGGATATCAGTAGAGATTGGTTGCAATGTTTGAGGAATGACTGGGTGTAATGGGGTGGATAAAGACAATATGGATGTCTTCTACATAGAAATAGGTCTACAAGAGATAAATATAACATTTACAGGAAAGGGCTAAGGGGTGTGATGAGTTGTTAACAAGGCTGTTTCTAATCCGCTAAAAAGGGATGAGTTCAGAAAGGGTGATTCTAAGATTTTTGTTGAGAGAATGGAGGGATGATGAATTGTATCTAAAGCTGAAGAGATGTCATAGGAAAAGAATGAAAACATGCTCAATAAGTTTTGAGAAACAGGAAATACGAGGAATGGATCAGAAGTTAGAAGAAGAGTGCTCTGTAAAGAGATTTTATTGCTGATAACAGGTACGTCAAATTAGTCAAACAGACAGCCTACAAGCAGGAAAACAGAATCAAATGTATGGTATACTGACTTAAGGGAGAGGAAATTATTGGAAGTGATGGTCAGTTAAGGTTACTTTATATCTGTGAGGAGACCATTATTATCAGAGATTATGTCTGAGAACGAATTCAAGACATTCAAGAGAGAGGAGATGGTGGTGGGAGCTGAATATGGATGGGTATTCTAGAGAGAGTTTAGATGCAATAAAGGGAATCCAATGGAGCTGGGAAGCCAGATAAGGTTATTCAGAATGGGCAACCATTCTTTTTTTTTAGGCCTTAAGATATGATATTGAGAGTGCATGGTGAGGGGAGGATTTCTAAGTATGTTATATTCAGCTAAGCACATCGACAGTGAAAGAGTCTAAGCTTGTTGTTTAACCAGATGTTAAGTGATTGGCTCTTAGCTGTCTCTCAAATCTATCTAACGTCTTATGGTAAGATAATGTTTTACTCCAAGAAATTTACTATTAATAGGAATGATTTCTGGCATACTGAACTGATGTTTGGTTGGTTATGCCTCATTTGTTTAAAAGGATTATATTCCCTTGAAAGTATAGTAAATGTGTCAATCTTACCTTGGGGCCTGGTAATCCTATCCCTGTTTCACCAGGAAATCCAGAAGGTCCAGGAAGGCCTCTTTCACCCTGTTGTAAAAATATATGGTTGACATTTTACATCATGACACATTCTGGTATTTATTTAAATTCATTCTTACCAAAAAAAGTCCAGTACAAAATACCAAAACCCATGAGATTTAAGCTACTAACCAATGGATATTTCTTAATTTTTCCATCAATGACAATTATAATTCATCTAGGAGCAGGAGAAACAGACTCCTCCTTCTTTAGCCTCCCTTCCCGCCGCCTTTCTTTAAATTCTTCATTATATACCTATATTGTAATATTAACAATATTAGCAAACTTCCTCTAGCAAACAAAGCTCTCACTTTGCTGAATTTGAAAAGGGAAGACGAGATACAGCAGATGTGGATCTTACGAACAACTTTTAGACAAGTTCTGTCTCATTCCTATGAATCCACTGCTTATGTGAACTGTAGCATACAACCTCCTTTTGGATAAAGGTTACCTACTCACATGTCCAGCGGAGAGTGCCTTCTACATATACAGGGATCTAGAAATCTCAGATTACGCACAATGCTGTGATCTTTTTTTCAAGTTACAAGCTTCAGGAGCTGCTTACTGCAGACCCTTATCCCCAGGGGCACCGCTTAATACAGGATAGTAAGATGCTAGTTTCTAATACACCCCAAAGTCTTTTGATCTACTAGCAATGGGACTTGATACATTTCATGCAGAATTCTGTATTAAATTGTGACATATACACTGTGCAGACTTGACTTTATTTGGAATTTGAAAAAAACAAATAACATTTTTAATTCTTTATTTTTGACTCAGGTCATAGCTTCAGCAATAAATTACATTAGATAGATTACATGAGATAGATAGATGTATGACATCAGACATATTTGACAAGGCATAACAGACAGGGTCTCTAACATATTTGGGCATTGAGCCATGAGCTGAGGGAATTTAGTTTTGGGTAGGGGGTGCTAGCGTTTAGACGTAAGACCAGTATGCCAAGGAGTGTGGCCATATCTCCTTGGCATACTTACCTTTTGTGTCATTTTACCCCACTCCCTCTAACATGTAAGCTCATTGAGCAGGGCCCTCAACCCCTCTGTTCCTGTGCGCCCAACTTGTCTGGTTACAACTACATGTCTGTTCGTCCACCTATTGTAAAGCGCTGCAGAATTTGACGGCGCTCTATAAATATCATAATAATAATAATAATATCTCAAGTGGGGTTGAAGGTGTTATAGGCATTAAGGCAAGAGTTACCTTTAAAAATATAATGATGTTGTGAGTTGGTTTTCGGGTCGTGGGCAGGTGGAGAGCGCGTTATCTGCGGTATGGGCATTCTTATGTTGTGCTCCTGTATTGTAGGGTTACCCCATAACCCTGGGGGGGAGCAGGGAGAGAGGGAGGGGGACTACATTTATGTGAATATAGATGGTTTGTGGCTCACTTGGGCTAATATTTGGTGGGTTATATATCGTCTGCAATAGTGTCTCTGGGAAGAGGTGAGGTGAGTTCTCGTCCCTGGTCTCAATCAGGTAGTGACCGATATGGGGGCCACTTCTCTAGCCCGTCGGGGGATGAATGGGGGTTCCTGGGCCGTAGGCAGTGCCGCAGGCTTGCTTGGTACCGCAGGGGACATGGCATCCTGTTGCAGTCCCAGGGTTGGCAGGAGGTCTGTGGCACCTTGCATGTCTTGAATGGTGTATCACCGTGGTGGATTAAAAGTGCTTGAAGATGCCTCCACTGGTAGGTAATTTTGTGCAAACATAGGAGAGCTGTGAAGGGTTTCATTGTGTGGTGCCAGGCCAGAGTTGGCCCTGATACATCTGCACAGAATGAAAGCTGCATGCTTTCAAACACATATGGGACTTGGCTTCTTGTCGCTTGAAGCACTGCTGCTCTGTCTCCGTGGCTCTGGAAGCTCACCAGGAGGTACCTAGGTGCCATGGTCGGAGCTTTTGCGGGTTCGGGGGGGTGTAACATCCCTCCTAGGACAGCTTGTTTGGCCTGTCTAGGGAGCAAGAGGGCCGACATCAGTCGTCTGGTGAATTGAGGTGTCTCTGACTCCGGTATCTCCTCTCTGATGCCCCTGATCTTGAGGTTCAGGCTTCGCCGTTGGTCTTCCAGCTCTGCAAACCGCTCTGCTGTTTTGCAATTCTGCTGTTATAGCTTGTGCACTGCTTGTTGCAGCTGCGTTGTGTTGTGCTTGTTTGGGCGGGAATCTTCTTTCACCATGCTCAGGTGGCCTGTCCGGCCCTGCAGGTCTTTGCAGACCTGGGCCATGTCAGCCTGTATAGTAAGCTAAAGCCCCGCTAGCAGCTCTTTCATTACCGCTGTGGTCACTGGGGACGTATCCGCTTGTGGGTGAGTCGGGTGAGGAGCCGGCAAGACGGGTGAGTTTGAATTTTCCTTTAGTTGTTATGTTGTTGTATCATTTTTTTCTACGTTGAATCTATATGTACTATATTATGTTACTCCCTTATATTTTATATTTACGACTGAGGTATATTCTAATATCCCAATAAAAATTTTCAGATACATAAATAGCAAGACCCTTTGCAAGAAAAAAACAAAACAAAAAATTAAATAAAAGACAAAAACCCCTGCCCTAACCCTTCTTTACCTTCGCTCCTTGAAGTCCTTCGGGACCATGGTCTCCCGGTGGACCTTGAATTCCCTGTAGAAAAAAAGTATATAAATATTTATTAGAGATAAACAGTAAATAATAAATCAAACAAATGATTTCAATGCTCAACATGCTGTTGGAATATCAGGCTTTCCGGCAAAATGTTAGGATGAACCATCATTGGAATCTTCCGAATTCATAGGTTGATTATAAATCAGACAAAACTGCATCTAAATCATCTACACCCAACTATGTTTATTATGTTTCACTAATGCGTAGTAGCTTATCCACATATACTCCATCCAGAGAATTTTGTGTATGATGATACACTAGTGGGGTGGTTTATTTATACGCATTTACACAAGGAAATTACTGTGTCTTATAAAGAAGTTTGTTTCACTATAGTTTAATTTGTCTTTTATTTTGTACTTTATACTTTGTAAAACTCTACACTTATAAAGTATAGTTAAATAATGAAAAATTTGAATAAACATTTATTAAATATAAATAATCTTCACCCAACTTATATAGCTTGGTGTAAAGACATGACAGAAGGGATATGATAGAAATATTTTATATATATCTATATATATAAATAAATATATATAGATATGAAGGGAATCAACACAGTAAAGGAGGAGAGTATATCTAAAAGAAGAAAAACTACCACAACAAGAGGACATATTCTTAAATTAGAGGGGCAAAGGTTTAAAAATAATATCAGAAAGTATTACTTTACTGAGAGGGTAGTGGATGCATGGAATAGCCTTCCAGCTGAAGTAATAGAGGTTAACACAGTAAAGGAGTTTAAGTATGCGTGGGATAGGTACAAGGCTAAAAGCATCGCTGCGCCAATTAGCATCTTCTCATAGAGATTAATTAAATCAATGCATCTCTATGGGGGAGTTCAGCGCCTCCATGCATAGCACTCCATGGAGACGCTGGATGTCAGTGTTTCACATTGTGCAGCACTGACCCTGGAAGCACCTCTAATGGCCGTCTGCGTGACTGCCACCAGAGTTGTTACTAGGCAGTACATTTTCTCTGAAAAGGCAGTGCTTACACTAAAATACCTGCAGGGACTCACTATACTCACCAAAACAACTACATTAAGCTGTATTTGTTCTGGTGACTGTAGTGTCCCTTTTAGAGTTTCAAATTAAGGATGTTTCTTATCCCACAATCTCTTCACCAGCAGTGGTTTGAGGGATATGTCGTTTAGCCCCTGCCATATGTTTAATCATCATATATGAGGGGAAGAACAACTCATTAAACTGATAGTAGTCATACTGGAGCCACTGGCTGTGCATGAAGATGGCCATAGATTGGGTTGTCTATAGAACAGTGAGATAAGGCTGGGAATGTCATCAAAACTCTATGTGTGGCTTGCACAAATTGTATGGAAATTGGATGGCAACAGGAAATATCTTTCCTGATTTGATGTAACTGTCCTAGGGGACAGGCTTATACCTTTAGTAATATTTTTTTTTTTTTTTTTTTTACAAATCTCTAATGTTAGATACCACTCTGTAAGGGGAAACAGGCAGCACAATACTCAGCACACCATAATCTTACATTGATGCAAAATTGTTATGGTGCTTAGAGTGGGTCTTTTAATATTTACTTTCTAAAGAGGTTTAACAGTTTCTCTTACCTGCACACCTCTCAATCCTCTCGGACCTGTTGGACCTTCTGGACCCTGAAACATAGTGTAAGAAAGCAGGTTAGAGCATATGCTATATAATCTCTTAGCGCACAATACACACTTCAAGAGTGGGGAGAGGAAAGCTCAGTGAATTGTATTGTTAAACTATACCACCGGTAGGTCCAATTCCCCTTTTCTAACATTGGCTTCATATAAAGGCCAAGAATAATAATAACATACATTTAGGCTAGGTACAATGAATTCCAGTTAATGAGAGGTAATAAAGTAATTACATGGCATATAAATCATATAACTGTTTATCATTGGATTTTGGCTAACTAGAAACTGTGTTTCTAAAATGTCATATTAAAGAATATGAAAGTCTCTGTAATTTATTTTATTAATGATTTTTGTAGGTTCTAGATAATTATTATAGAATAATAGATTACATTGTACCTACTTCTTCAAATGATACAAAACAGACATTAAACAACAAAAAAAGTCATATTTAAGTTTGGCAACAATTCATCTTTCAGTAGATTTTATTATAATTTTTGTTGTTACATACTCTGTCTCCTTTGATTCCAGGGATTCCACATTCACCTCTTTCTCCCTAAAAGAGACACAAATGTAATACAATGTATATGATACCAGTCTCAATTCCAGTAGTGTACAGGCAGTCACTGAACATTTACCAGGTAAATAAACTGGGTATATGTGTTCAGAAGAATTATTTTACCTGTTCCCCTTTGTATCCAGGTTTACCCTAGGAAAAGAAAATATTTTTAAAATGACATAAAATTAACAGATAATTGTTATTACATGATCATTGTGGACAATTGTTGATCTTTGTATGGAAACGCACACAAAATGCATGTTTAGTTGATTACCCCGTAGTAATGTGGGAATTTAGGTTAAAAAGACTATCTTAATATTTAACTTATGCTCTGTTTTGCTGTAAAAACAGACCATATTAAAATGAATTCTAGTGTTTTCCCAAAAAGAGGAAATAATATCTGGGGTTTTTTTTTTGCGCCAAATCACCATTACATTTAAAAATATATTTCTGGTTGCAATTTAAGAAAATCCACTTTTTCTGTGATAAAAAAAAAATATTTTATTAGGATAGTAATCTATAAAAATAAGTAACATATAACCATCTCTACAGTGATCTGCTGTAATAAGAAGAAAATTAAGATACAAAATAATACCTGTCTTGTCACAAGATATTGCCCCGTAGTTAGCTATGTGCACCTTTTTACAGTCTGGAACTGTTTATAAATGTTTATTAACCGATGTCTGCATATTATCCCTTTTAACTCTCTGTACAACTTAATGACAATATGCATGTCATGTATAATTTTATCTACAATATTTTTGTTTACTTTCTGAGATGCTTTATGCATCTTGTGAAATAATAAATCTATTTATTATTGTATAGAAGAATAATTCCTTATGGGTACAATGTCGATTTGCATTTACTAGTTACCTCCGTTCCATCTCTTCCAGGAATTCCATTTAGTCCCGATTCACCCTAAAATGACAGAAAAAAATAAAAAAAGACATCAGATCATGACCTCATCAAGAATAAAGGTTTATTGGCTCCTAAGATGCTATGGGAACTCAAGTAATCCTTAATTCTAGGACACCGAGATTCATCACAGTGCAATGTGATCCTTCTTCGGTCTAGTTTTACATTACTACACAACTGATTTATTATGTTTATTCAATTTCTTTATTTAGTGGGTCACCAAGGATCAATGTGTCATTTAAAAAAAAAAGTAAAAAAATAAATAAATATATATATATATAGTTAATACATTGCTAAACACAAATACACACACCAGTCAAGCCATAAGACTTGCTTTTCCCACAAAAATCTCACTTTAAAGGACCACTATAGTGCCAGGAAAACATACTTGTTTTCCTGGCACTATAGTGCCCTGAGGGTGCCCCCACCCTCAGGGTCCCCCTCCCACCCGGCTCTGGGGAGAGGAAAGGGTTAAAACGTACCTTTTTTCCAGCGCCGGGCGGGGAGCTCTCCTCCTCCGATCCTCCTCCTCTCCTCCCATTCGGCTGAATGCGCACGTGCGGCAAGAGCTGCGCGCGCATTCAGCCGGTCTCATAGGAAAGCATTTACAATGCTTTCCTATGGACGCTTGTGTGTTCTCACTGTGATTTTCAATGAGACAGCCACTAGAGGATTTGAGGGCTGGATTAACCCTTTCATAAACATAGCAGTTTCTCTGAAACTGCTATGTTTATAAAAAAAAGGGTTAACCCTAGCTGGACCTGGTACCCAGACCACTTCATTAAGCTGAAATGGTCTGGGTGCCTAGAGTGGTCCTTTAACAGTGCTCTCACTACTGCAGGTGATTCTGGGTAGGCACATGCAAATGAGCCCAACAAAGAACCACATTTATGCCTCATAATTCCACTTTGTACATGGATTCCTTGGAGTATGTGTCTGCTGTATAAAACATCTTTGAACACAACTCAGGAAGAGGAGCAAAGCCAGTGGACAGCTGTTTCATTGTTAATGCAACTAATCAGCATGATGTTGCTTACTGGCTTGCTATGGAGGCTTGTAAAGTACATACCAAAAGAGTTGTATATATGTAACCAAAACATTGAAAAAATATATAAATAGTTTGATTCATCAAATATTTTATTTAAGAAAAATCTGCTTTTACCTATATACATTATCGATACATTATTAAAGGACTAGTGATGGCATTTTTGCTTTTAAATATTTTATAGAAAATTGCAGGGGAATCATAATTCAATTATTTTTATTAAAATATAACTTTTTAAAATTCAATAATGAATATACATGACCTCAAATATATCGCCAATTATTACAATTAGTATTATGTTCTTTTTTTACCTTTGTTCCTTTTTGGCCAGGGGCACCATCATCTCCATTTCTACCTTTTTTACCCTAAAAAAAAAGCAAAATATACATTTATTGTAAAATAACTTTGATATTTTTTGTATTTTTTTGTTATCCACTGAGTGCTGGGGTAATGCCCAATGCATTGCAAATCAATGTATTTGCCATGCTTCTGATACTCAAATGTATTCGTTTACAGTTTGTGGCTTTTAAATGTGGTCTTTAAATTTGCGTTTATTTACTGATATATACCGTGCCATGATTGGCAGCTACTTTGTATACTCTTTTCTGGGAATCATAACTGTCCCTCTTTGTTTATTAATGTTTTGAGTTGTGACATCTTTTTTATGTCTATGTCTAATTTCAAGAAGTAAAGTCCAAAACATGTACTACATAAAAATTCTTGCAAATGCTACAATGATCTTTCATATTAATACCCCATGACAGTGATGGATTACCTTGGCACCCCAGATGTTTGTGACCTACATTTTGCATTTGGGGTGCAGTGGCACAGGGGTTCACCAGAGGTTAGTTATATTTACCTAAAGCTGTTCCCCACAGGCATGCCACTTTCAACTAACTACAGCTGTGGGATCTGACAAAATTTGATGGCTGCAACAATGCTTTTTCTCAAGTTTTGTCAAGTTATAAATTATAAGACAGAGTAGTCATTGATTTGTCTTATGATATATTTTTACTGTTGGAATTCCAGTGAAATACCAACACAATCTTTATGAGCACTTCATAGAGATTTTATCTTCATGAAATGCTCGTAAATATTTTTTTGTGATAGAGCCGCTTAAACCAATGCACCCAGTCTCCATTCCTTCAAAAGAGTATTGAAAATTACCCTTCTTCAGGAAGGCACATTCATTAAACTGTTAACAGCTTTTCCTCCCCGCACCCTCCCTCCTCTCCTGCAACTATCATAAAAAAAACAAAAGTAAGCACTGATTGAAAACTATTCTAGCAACCTATTTTTCTATCGTACCCTTTACTTTAGTGTCACTTTACCCCACTCCCTCTAGAGCAGGCATAGGCAACCTTCGGCACTCCAGAGCATTATGGGGGATGTAGTCCGCAACATCTGGAGTGCCGAAGGTTGCCTACCCCTGCTCTAGAGTATAGACTCATTTGAGTTGGACCCTCAATTCCTTCTGTTCCTTTGTGTCCAACTTATCTGGTTACAAATACTTGTCTGTTAGTCCACCCATTGTACAGCGCTACAGAATTTGATGTCGCTTTATAAATATTATTATTAATAATAATAATAATAAAATAATAACTATTATAGAGCAGAAATATGAGGTGAGATTTATTTGAGGAAGGCTGTTCTTTTGTATAATCACAAAGCAATGGTAAAAGCAATCTGTGCACAAAGATATAAATAAAACAAAAAAAATCAAAAGAGGGGTCTCATTGCTCATCAGCTTAAGGATGAAGAAAGAGCACTCACTGGTTGCCAAGTAAGGCTGCAAATTTGAATGGCATTGATTAGTTTGCTTCATGGTTACATAATTATTCTGTGATGTGATGGAGTCAAAATATTTTGCACAAAGTATAATCTACATACTTACAGCAGGTCCGGGAAGTCCTCGTTCACCTTTTTCACACTCACATGCAGTTGACTGCGAACACTAAAAAATAATAATTCATACAATGCATCATGAACATGCTAAACAAAATACATCAATAGAATGTCTCGTCCTTTTCATTTTCTACATCTTTAGGCAATTATTTAGCTGATGAATGTATAGATATGACGTGGCCAATTGAATTGCATTGTTGGCGTTAGTCTGTCAAACCCTCTCCCTGAATTTAATTGTGTCTTGACTACAGCGGCCGGCAGGTAACAGAATACAGACATAGATAAGATAGCGTATAATAGAACAGTACTGTATTGTTGTGTTTACATACACAATATCCAGTTTGACATAGAAGGCTATTTGGAGTTCCATAGAACTGTCAGTATTAGTGCAAAGAAAAATCTTGGCACTCTGTTCAAACAGCAAGCAGTTTTATTGTATCGAAAGTAGTGACAGAGCAACCTTGTAGAAGGTCTTTGAACACTGCGAGTGCCTAAAGATTTTCCTTTGCACTGTAATCCTATTTCGGATTTTCTGGTTCTGCTTCACTTGGTGCTAACTTGGAATTATAAGCGGTTCCATTGGTCGTTTTTAGTATACTGTGTTACGACATGGTAATGGAATGGTGGGATGTGCTTCTCTAATTAGTTATATTCTAAAAGCACCCACAGCTAAGGAAAGGTTGTTTTTAGCTTCTTTGGTAATTCTTTGGTTACATTGTTCATGCTATTTAAGTGTTCGTTTTATGGTTAAATACTATCAATTCTATTCTCAGTAAAAAGAGAATTGACACGACTTTACCTTAAGGACCAAACTTCTGGAATAAAAGGGAATCATGACATGTCACACATGTCATGTGTCCTTAAGAGGTTAAAGTGAATTTAAAGTGAATTTCAAAATTAGGACAAAATAGATGAATTAGAAAAATTGTCCAAGTCCGTTCTATTTACAGTTTGCTGATTTATTTTTGCGATTCACTTCAAATGCACATTGAATTCCTGGAAATGTTCACTCTGTAGACTAACCCTGTGTAACAATATTATCAGCGTTATTTCTACGCTGTGGCCTTGACTTGCTATCGGACTATTAGTATAAATTACAACGTGATTTGATAAATGCTGTATATATGCTTTTTAAATGGAAAACATTCCCTCCCTCTAATTAATGGAGGTCTGCAACCTAAAATAACACATAGCAAATATATATATAAAATACAAAATCATTATATTAACCCCTTAAGGACCAACCTTATGGAATAAAATGGAATCATGACATGTCACACATGTCATGTGTCCTTAAGGTGTTAAACCAAAATACACTTTCTGACATCTTAGTTTTCAAAATGGCTGTCTTTTGTTGACGAGGATGAATAGTATATAATATAGTATACAATAGTATATATAAATACATTGTAAAAAACTTACCCCTTCTTCTGCCATCTCTTTCTGCAGAAAAATAATCACAATTATTACATTAATAATGTTATTTTTGTGTAAATTACTTATCTACATAATATTGCTTAATGAAATTCACAAAGGAAACATACAGACAATGAACAGTTCTCAATTTTTTATCATAAAACATGGGGACATCTCTAGTGGATTGCATTAGAACAAACAGTGAGGTCACACAAATTGTCACCGCCTCATCTCTGAATTCATTGGATCAAGTAGCAAGCGCTTACCGTAAACCATTATATTCACTGAAATGAGGATTCAAAGTCAATTTCAAAAGTGAAAGCATAGCTTAGTTTTCCAGTCCGCATACTTAGACCTTAAAATTTAATTCTCACTTTTTTTTTTTAATTTAAGTTTTTTATCGAGGCTAAAGAGATAATAAAATACAGTAAGAGCACGTAAACATTAGAATAGTATAAGCATACTAGGTTGCATAGAAACAGTTGAATAAGGTTTCTCAAAGACAACACAATACTAATGCAAATGATAAAATTGGATGCTAAGCATTAGATATGGCTATTTATTTATCATAATATGAGATCTGATAAAGATCAATCAGACTTAGATTAGGAGCTGATGGTATGTAAGGACCACAGATTGGCTAACATGTTTCTTGTTTGTTTGCTTACTAGATGTAGATAAACATAGAACAAAAATAAAAATAATAAGGGCAGCAAAGCTAATCACAGAAAGAAACAGAGTGCAAACTATAAGCATTGACGTAAAGGACCACTTTAGTCAGCATATAAAAGCAAGAAGGACAGGTCTCCCAGCCTTCTTTCTTGCTTTTATATTAGTTTGTAATTAAAAAAATAAAAATCTGAGTGCTTTTTATCATATAAACTTACCTCCGTTCCAACGCTAAGATCCTCGGCAGGCCGCACCCTCTTTTTCGTCAAAAAGGCAAAATAGCAGTGCTCAATCAGAAGCTTCTCTTAGAGAATCCTCATAGCGATCTGGTGCGCATGCGGTGCACCAATCGGGTTCTTCATAGAGTGGCATTGAATGCTGCCCTATGAATGAACACTGAGCGCTCTACCGGTATGCGCATTCGCGAGCTGAGCTGACTGACAGCTCAGCTTGCTGTCTATGCCCGCCCCCATCCTACTGCAACCCTCCTAAGCCAAAAGTTTGTATGCAAACACTGTATATAGAAATATATCTATATATAGTATTTGTATACAAACACACACATTGTAAATAAATATTGTTAAACATGCACAAACACACACACACTCTCTCTATCTGTCTATCTATTTCTATCTATCTATCTATAAATCTATCTATTTCTATCCATCTGTTTCTATCTACACTCACTCTCTCACTCACTCACTCTCACACACTTACTCTCACACACTCACTCTCACACAGTCACTCTCACACATTCACTCACACTCACTCTCTCGCTCACTCACACACTCACTCTCTCACACTCGCACACTCCCTCACTCTCTCCCTCACACACACACACACTCTCTCACTCTCCCTCACACACACTCTCTCACACGCTCCCTCACACTCACACTCTCTCACACTAACACACTCTCACTCACACTCACTCTCTCTCACACTCAGTTTCTCTCACACTCACTCTCACTCTCTCAGACTCACACTCTCAGACTCACACTCTCTCACACTCACACTCTCTCACACTCACACTCTCTCAAACTCACAGTCACTCTCAATTTTTAAAATAAGTTTACTTACGGTTTGAAGTCAGTAGATCCTCCTGCTTGGTCTCTTTCCTTCTGCCTTTAGCCTGTCAGCCCGAGCCCACGCTATGTGCAGGAGATACTTATCTCCCACATGGTCGGCTCTGATTGCTGACAGGCTCCGGGTTACTACAGGACACAGGAGGCACATTCACAGTGCCTCCTGAATCCTGATAGCACGTTTGATGTCTTCAGTGAAGAGTGAAGATGTTAAACGTGCTGAATGCTAACTAGGCAGCAGTTTACTCGGAAGTCCCTCTGGTGCCCGTCTGAGTGACAGCCACTGGAGGTGTTCCTAGCTTCCATGGTGAACACTGTATTGTCTCAGAAAATACAGTGTTTACATGAAAAAGGCTGCAGGGAGCTATTGTACTCACCTGAACAACCCCATTAAGCTGAAGTTGTTCAGGTGACTATAGTGTCCCTTTAAGGCCCGAATAATCGGAGTGGCAGTGAGCAAGATCCATCCATCCAACACTGCACTGAAATGTCATAGGTTTACCCTACATAGTTTTAACATTAGATAACTTTAAAACTATATAGGTTTAACACTACATAGCTTTAACATTAGATAACTTTAACACTATGTAGGTTTAACACTACATAGCTTTAACATTAGATAACTTTAACACTATGTAGGTTTAACACTACATAGCTTTAACATTAGATAACTTTAACACTATATAGGTTTAACACTTCAGAGGTTTTAATTGTCACCATAGGCAACCATACCATTTAATCTCGTTAAAGTGGTCCTACATTGCTTACATTGCAGTACTAAGAATGCCCTGTAGTCGCAGTGAAACAACGCTGGATGTCCTCACACTCTGAGGATCAGGACATCCAGCGTCAAGGAAACCCCATAGGAAAGCATTAAGGCAATGCTTTCAAATGGGGAAGGACTGATGCTTGCCACACATGTGCATTAGGTCCCCCCATTGACTGATGTTGGGGGAGGTGGAGCACAACTCAGGGGAGAGGTACATCGTGCTGGAACCAAGTACGTGAATAAAGCATTTTTTAACCATTTACATTGTGGGGGGAAGGAGGAGCATGGGGTGCAGAGAACATGGCATAAGATAGCACTACATTGTTAATTTTGATAAAACTATACTTTTTGCATCTTGTAGGCAACCCAGGGGGCTACAGCCAGGAACGTATTAGCCGTGAGGCAAACAAGGCATTTGCCTTGGGCGTCATTTTTCAGGGGGCGGCAAAAAAGCCGCCCCCCAAATGCCCAGGGCAAATGCCTTGTTAGCCTTGCGGCTAACAGACATGCCGGTCGGGCTGGGCGGGGGGCGCTGGCTGCTGGGCGGGCGGCTGGCGAGGGAGCTCTTCCTCTGAGCGGTCTGCTCAGCTCCCTCGTGCGCCGCAGAGAGGGGCTGGGAGCCGGAAGATGACGCCGCCCAGCAGCCAGCGCCCCCCGCCCAGCCCGACCGGCAACCACTAGACCTCCAGGGAGAGAGAGACCCCTCCCCCCCCCAGCACTCCCAAGAGGTTGGGGGGGTGAGTGATTGTGTGTGTGTTTGTGTCTGACTGTGTGTGTGTGTGTCTGTGTGTGTGTGTCTGACTCTGTGTGTCTGACTGTGTGTCTGACTGTGTGTGCGTGTGTGTGTGTCTGACTGTGTGTGTGTGTCTGACTGTGTGTTTGTGTCTGACTGTGTGTGTGTGTGTGTGTCTGACTGTGTGTGTGTTTGTGTTTGTGTCTGACTGTGTGTGTGTGTGTGTGTGTCTGACTATGTGTTTGTGTCTGACTGTGTGTATGTGTGTTTGTGTCTGACTGTGTGTGTGTGTTTGTGTCTGACTGTGTGTGTGTATGTGTCTGCGTGTGTGTGTGTTTGTGTCTGACTGTGTGTGTGTTTGTATCTGACTGTGTGTGTGTGTGTATTTAGAAGGTGGGGCGAGGGAAGGGTTGGGTGGGGGTGGCCCGGGGGGAGGGGGGCGCCTGAGTTTTGTCCTGCCTAGGGCAGCACAAAACCAGGATACACCACTGGCTACAGCATCTATTTACTAAGCAAAGTTAAAGCACGTAAGGTAAAAAATAAATAAAAAAAATTCAGTTTTGCTGAATTTAAAATTTTTCCAATTGCTTATTGTTTTGCAAATGTTGTTCTCTTATTAGAACTTACTGTGAACAGACTCATTTGTTTATCCATAAATTTATTTAGTAATTAAATATTTTTTATTGTTTTTTTTCACAAAATACATAAAACTCAAATAAATACAAATTTCTTCACAATAATAATTTCACTTTGACACAATGTTACATAAAACATACAAAACAATCGACCTGTCAGTTAACAATATATTATTATACTATTATAACACAGTAGAGGTATTACCCTATAACTGTCAATTGCCTCAACATATTGTCCTCCTCCCGGCTCTTAGGCAATTTCCCCTATAACAAACACATTCCCCAAGCCTCCATCTAAATCAATTTTTAACACCCATACCCTAAAAAGGAGGATAAGCTGAAGATATGACCAACTTCTATACTAAAAGAGGAGACGCTATACAAGTATAAAGAAGATCATAAAAAATATATAAATAAATAAATGAATAAATAAAATAAAAATAACTTTAAGCCTATGAATGAGACAAATCCCAAGAGGTATCTTTGGGTGCCTAAACTTAAACTACCACACACATACCGCATTCATTGTTCCAAGGATCTAAAGGGACGTTGGGCTGACGAAGAGGAGTAACTATAATAAGTTTTATCCAAGGGTCAAACAATAATCATCCCAGAGTGCCCATCACTTCTCGGATCTGTAGAAGCCCCTAAGTGCCCATCTTGTCTTTCTAATCTTCTATTTCTCTGCATCACCCTCTCTACTTCTGACCACTTTGGGAGCTCTCCTCCCTTCCAATTTACAGCAATTAACCATTTCGAAATCGATAGACTCTGAAGGAGAAGGGATTTTAATTATTTCATACAATGACAAGGTAAAAGATGGAATAATGCCAGTTCTGGGATTAAGTTAATATTTTCACCTGCAATTCGATATATCCCAATATTTACCTCCTGCCAGTAAATTTGAATGTAGGGGCAGGACCACCACATATGCATTGCTGAGCCTACTTGATTAGAGCCCCGCCAGCATAATTTATATGTATCATCTTTCTTCATTTTCCAAAGTTTTAGCGGAGTTACATACCATCTATTTAAAATTTTAAAGTATGTTTCCCTATATGAAACATGTTTAATTAATTTATCGGTTGAGGTGAAAGCTCCCACCCATACTTCTATGGGCCAGGATTGACTCAATTCTTCTTCCCAAATTCTTATACTTAGAGATTTAGTATCCAACTTCCTATCTCTTAAAATATTAAAACATTTTGACAGCAAATGCTTCTTATTTGTTGAGCTTATTATTTTTTCACAAGCTGTCAATTGTCTAAACTGCTTTAAATGATAACTTGAGGATGAAATCTTAGACTTCAACTGATTATATTCCATCCATAAACTAGAAGGGACCTTAAAGTTAGATTGTAGATACTCAAATGAAAAAAATTGAGTATTAATATATAAATCCTTTAAGTGTCTACATCCCAATTTCCACAGCCTCTCAAGCAAGGGAGACTGAATATGTTCCCACAGCCAAACAGTAGGAGTAATAGGGCCTGGTAATGGAATCCGAGAATATTTACAGTTCAATTTCAACCAACATTTAGCAATATACCAAGTTGTCGAATCTTTACTATGCATTAGGACACCGGATACATCATCTCGATAGATTATTGAGTTCAGATGTGTTTGTTTTTAAAAAAAAAAAAGCTTCTATCGACATCCATAAATTTATTTAGACTCAAGGTGGAAACACTTAGTTTCACGGCAGAGTGGTGGGAATTTTATTAAAGACCCGGAGGCTCCTATTATGCTGCACTCTTTCTTTATTTCCCTCAGCAGCAAAGAAATATTATTGAAAGAAAACATTCAAAACAGGTTTAAACATCCTATAGGCAATGTCCGCCAAGCAACATGACATCCAATCAGTGACATCTTTCCCATGTAGTAGGCAGAGCAATGATGACCATTTCCTCTTTCTTTGCTGCTTTCCCTCAGATAAGTACAACTCTCAGCTACTGGCTGTGGTTTTACACATTTATTATTATATTTATTATTATATGTCTGTTATTTTTAAATGCTAGTTATATTAATGAAGGCAAACATGTTTATGATGTTTACAGACTATTTCTGTCCCTATTAGCATATGGTGCTGTAGTCTTGCTCAACTTAAATAAATCATTTATGCTTCAAGTATATTTCTGCCTGGTTACTCCCTAGGACACTACAAGTCCTAGGGAGATTCTCTTTGAGATAACCGCCGCGGTCGCGGCTCCGGGTACTACCCTCTTCAGCCGCGCATGCGCATCCCGTCAGGGACGCCCCGGCGGCCATCTTGCGGCTGGTTTACTGTATCTGCGCTCCGGTTTTAACAACCGAGCGCGGTCTTAGCCGCACACCACCGTTTTCTGTTGCATGTAGCCGGCCTCACCTGTGCCGGCTACCTCGCGATCTCTGATCTCACCGCGGGAACCCCGATTCCAGCCGGAATTTTGCAGGCGGCCATTTTAAACGGCGCTTTCGCGCCCTTTTTCCTGTGTCACGCCCACTCCGTCCCTCGAGTCGGAGTTGGCGTTCAGTGTTGTGGCGGACGGTTCCCCTGTCTCCTGCTCCCATAACTTTGATAATTTAGTGAGTACTTTTGCTGGGTTACTCAACCCTGCTTGTTTTTTCACAATAAAATTGCCTTTCTCTTGTCTGCTATTCTCATACATTATGCAGTCCTCTAATGAATTGCCTGGTCCCTCAGAGGCACCAGCTAACCCCCAAATTTTCTTGGATGTTCCCCCTGTAGCTTCAGGGGATGAGGTGGATTTCCCAGCATCAGGGGAAATCCAAGCCATCATGGATGATACTGTATCCAGATCTGTTTCCAAAGCTTTGGCATCTGCCATGGACATTATGTCCTCCTCTATTTCAAAATCATTTACCCAAGCACTACTTCAGGCCCAATTAATGGTCCATCCGACTGTGCCAGTCGCGAAACCATCTGTTTCTCAGCCCCCACGCCTCGGCCGCAAAGCCTTGGCTAAAGTCAAGCACTCCTCCAAATTTGTGATGGACAGCATAACACCTGTCATAGATGGCGCGAATATCGATCCACCGCGCAAAAGAGCCTCTAGCCGGGCAAAAACGGCTAGACACTGGAAGTGGGCTAAAGCCCAGCCCGATTCGACTGAGTCAGAACTCAGTTCAGATGAGGAGAGTGCCCCTGCCCTAGACTCAGATCAGTCTAACGATTTGTCCGACTTAGATTCGGACTATGGAACTGTTAAGGAGTGTAATCCCTCCACTAAGATATGTCCCACTGATGGGCCCAGTTCTGACTTAACCAAAGAGGGAAAAATCCTTGACCCACAGGGTGAACCGTTGTTCGAACCCGACGACTTACGTCACCCCCGCTCTGCGGAATGGTCACCGGCTGAGCATGTGGTGCAGTACGTCGCATCTCGGGTCCGTAAGCCTTTGGACAAGGCAACTCGTAACAAACTAAGGGCCGAATGCCCACGTCCCACCGTACCAGACGAAGTCTGTAAAACACCCCAGGTGGACCCCAAAATTATTAAATTTTTAAGTAAAACAAGTTGGAAACCCAAGAAGGGTCTAGACTTCTCACTTTATAATTGTCAGGATAAAGTCTTGGATATTTTGGGTCCAGCGACCAAAATTTTTGAGGCCGTGGAGGAATCCTTGAGGCAAGACGAAGCCTTAGATCGCCTCACTATTAGAGGCTGGATTCAGAGGGTGATATGCCTCATAGGCAATGCCAATACGGCTCTGGCTACTGAGCGCCGTAAATCTATATTGATTAAAATCGAACCAAAACTTGTAAACATGGCAATTACTGAGCCGGGAGCCCAAGCTAAAGGGTTCCTTTTCGGGGAGTCTTTTGTCAAAGACCTGGGCTCCTATGTCCAGACATTCACAGCCTTGGACAAGGCACAATCTAATCTAAAGCGGGTGTTCCACCCAAAGGTTTTTGGTGGGGCCGGCAGAGCAAGGGGCCGTCTGTCCGGCAGAGCCAATAGAGGTTCGCGCCAGAACCAAGGTCCCTATATGGGGAGACCCCCCTTTCCCGACCAGAGGTCCGTCCCGACCTTCTTCCCCCAACGAGGTAGACCTTGGGTGTCGAGAGGTGCACGAGGCACTCCTTCCGGAAGACGTCCTTACGGTAAGTTACCTTTCTCGATTTTCTTCACAAGTGGCAATAGGGGGCAGGCTCATGCATTTTTCCCATGTCTGGGCTCTAATTACATCAGATGCTTGGATTCTCAGGGCAGTCCAAGGATACCCAATAGACTTTGTATCTCTGCCCACTCAACTCTCCCAACCAAGGGAGCTTGTTTTTTCCCCAACAGACACGACCCTCGTTTCCGAGGAAGTTCAAGATTTAGCACTCAAAGGGGCTATTCAAGAAATCCCGATAGATACCCCGGGTTTTGTGAGCAACCTATTTATTGTCCCCAAAAAAGGGGGCGGATCCCGCCCAGTTATCAACCTCAAACACTTAAACACCTACGTAACCTACCATCATTTCAAGATGGAAGGCATTCACTGCCTACGGGATTTACTCCAGCCAGGGGACTGGATGGTCAAACTCGACCTGAGAGACGCCTACCTCGCGGTACCCGTTGCGCAGGTGCACCAAAACTTCCTGCAATTCACATGGCAAGGGAGGAAATGGTGATTCCGCTGCCTTCCCTTCGGGCTCTCCTCCGCACCTTGGTGTTTCACCAAGCTCATGAAGCCCGTCATCGCTCTCTTACGCAGTCGGGGAGTTCGTCTAATCATATACTTAGACGACATCCTGCTACTATCCCAATCAATATCATTACTTCATATTCACCTCGGTTGGACCACAACCTTGCTACAGAACTTGGGCTTCATTATAAATTGGGAAAAATCCATTCTAATCCCCACTCAACAAATAGAGTTCCTAGGACTCTTGGTGGATTCAGACACGCAAACCCTGTATTTACCAACATCCAAAATGAGAAGTATCAAGAAAGAGATAAGACGAGTTCTTACCTCTCAACACATTTCTCTCAGACATCTGGCCCGCGTGATCGGGCTCCTAGCGGCCTCCATACAGGCCATCTTTCCGGGTCCCCTTCATTACAGAGCCCTCCAACGCCTGCAGGCGTCGTACCTCAGAGGCGGCGCCTCATACGAGGATACTCTGACTCTGGACACGGATGCGAAAAAAGAACTCCAATGGTGGCTCCTACACATGGAGGCATGGAATGGCAGAGCCATCTTCGGCTCAGCCCCAGACGTAGTCATAGAGTCAGACGCCAGCTCGTACGGTTGGGGTGCGCGCTGTGGAGATATCGTCACAGGCGGACGATGGTCGGAAGCAGAATCCATGCTACATATAAACTGCCTGGAACTCCTAGCGGGGTCCTTTGCGGTTCACAGCCTTTCCCCGACACTGTCCCAGTGTTCGATCCTACTGAAGATGGACAACGTATCGGCTGTCCGTTATATCAACCACCTCGGTGGTACGAGATCCAAAATTCTAGCGAATCTGGCTCGAGACTTTTGGCAGTTTTGCCTGCACCACAACATGGCTGTCAGGGCTGAGTATTTACCGGGTTTGTCCAACACCACGGCAGATTGGTACTCCCGTCACCTGCGGGACGCCAGCGACTGGCACCTCGATTCCCGAGTCTTCCAGCGCATTGGGGACCTGTGGGGTCCTCTGGCGGTAAACTTATTTGCCTCCCGCTTGAATACCCAACTTCCGACCTTCTTCAGTTGGAGGCCAGATCCTGCGGCTTCAGCCATGGATGCATTCTCCCAAGACTGGTCAACCACCAGGAACTATGCGTTTCCTCCATTCGCCCTTATCCCGCGTTGCCTCCTCCACCTGCGACGCCAATGGGGTTGCCTAGTTATAATAACCCCCCTCTGGCCATCGCAACCTTGGTTTCCTCCTCTGCTGGAGATGGCCATAGATCACCCGCGGCTCCTCCCGGATGCCCAATCTCTCCTATGGGACCCCGATGGGACCCCCCACCCCCTGATCCTTCAGGGCCTCCTCCGCCTCATGGCATGGTTGATCTCCGGGGACCCTGGTCAATCGCAGGAGTTTCGCAATCGACTCTCCGACTTCTCGAGGGCGCATGGGCACCCGGCACGAGACAGTCTTACAAGTCTGCTTGGCGCACATGGGATGGTTGGTGCATGGCACGGGGTGTGGATCCCCTATGAACTACTGTGACGAACGTCCTACAATTCTTAACCTCCCTGTATGAGACGGGGAAAGCTTACAGGACGATAAACCTCATCGAGGGGACCCCGTTAGGACGACATCCACTGGTTTGTCGTCTTCTCCGAGGCATTCGCTTTGCGAGGCCACCCCTACCTCGCTATTCCTCCCTATGGGATGTCTCCCTGGTATTGCAATTCCTGACTAGGTGGCCAGACAATGAGTCTTTATCCTTAAAACAGCTCTCAGCTAAGCTAGTTATGCTGTTGTGCCTAATCTCCTGCAAAAGGGTATCGGACGTTAGAGCCCTCGATGTCAATGCCCGATCCTTCACCCCAGAAGGAGTCGTTTTTGACATAACACGTAGGACGAAATCGTCCTCCAAGTCGGTCCGGTACCCAGCTTTTCCCATGCAGCCTCTCCTTTGCCCAGTAGCGTGTCTGAGGACGTACGAAGCTCGTACTGCACCCCTTCGGTCTGGATCAGACCCCCAACTCTTCATCTCCTTCCGGAAACCACATGCTCCGGTATCCTCTCCTACCTTGGCAAGCTGGGTCAAATGGCTCATGTCCTTAGCAGGTATTGATACCTCCATATTCTCTCCTCATTCGGTCCGGGGCGCCATGGCCTCTAAAGCCTCCTTTGCGGGTTGTCGCTTGGAGGATATCTTGAAGGCGGCTGATTGGTCCACAGAATCTACTTTCCGTAATTTCTATTTCAAACCAATCCAGCATTTCGCAGAAGCCGTGATAGCACAGCTTTGAAATAGCATAATAGGAGCCTCCGGGTCCTTAATAAAATTCACGGATTTTACAATTATCATGACGGAAAGTCATGATTTTATTAAAGACACGGAGGCGAGTATTATCCCACCCACCCGCCCGCGGGCGGCCCGGAGGTGGGTCGAGGTAAGTTTCTCAGACCTCTCCAAGTTAAGTCCAATTGGGCGGTAGTGGTACCATCACACACCTACATCGATCTAGGACTTTAGCTACTGATGGGACTTTGTCACTGTTGTCCTCAAATCAATGATTGTCTCTTACTACTGTTGTGTAAGGCTTACACTGTTTACTCAGCCATTGGGGCCTATGTATATGCGGACAACCCAAACTTTCAAGAAATTATTATATTTTTTCTTGTTTTCTTTAGCGTGACCTGATTGAAGGTGCTCCTGGAATCACATGCCGTGTTACGGCTCGTTTGGTTTACTTGGTTGTCCCTGTTCCGTTTTGAGTTTTCTTCGGGAGTCGCAAGAAAGAGGAAATGGTCATCATTGCTCCGCCTACTATATGGGAAAGATGTCACTGATTGGATGTCATGTTGCTAGGCGGACATTGCCTATAGGATGTTTAAACCTGTTTTTAATGTTTTCTTTCAATAATATTTCTTTGCTGCTGAGGGAAATAAAGAAAGAGTGCAGCATAATACTCGCCTCCGTGTCTTTAATAAAATCATGACTTTCCGTCATGATAATTGTAAAATCCGTGAATTATATTTCAGAATTCACAAATAAATATTGTTAAATATAGAGAATGGGAAAAAAAATTTTTTTTTAAATACTGGGAATTTAATCTTATCTTTGTTCCAATCTGTATACAATTTCTTCTTTATTCATTTTTTGGGGGGGTGGGAGGAGGCACATTTAAAATAATGATGCACACTTTGATTACCTTGGATAGTTGAATTTGTTATTTTCATCAGCAAAAGAACATATTGAGTTAATATGTTTCAGATCAACAATTTACCATGAAAAATAGGGGATGGCAAATCTCTCTCAAAAATGAAAAGAATAGTGTGTGAAGCAAAGCTAAAAGCTTATATTTTTTAATATCTGTACAATAATTCCATTGCCAGTTGGACTTTCCCATAACTGAAAAAACTAACTTTCTGGCATAACAATAAATCAAAAATATAATAACAATAAATCAATAAATTAAATAAATTGCCACTGGCCTGCTTAAACAGTACCTTTTTACTTTTAATTTACCAAACTCCGTGAGCTGTTTAACGGTCACCCGCTCTCCGTTAATATAAAACAAATCTTTAGACTCAGAAACATCGTCTTTAATACGCAAAAAAGTAGCAGAAAATTATATTTTGCAATACGTACTAACATTGCAGCCTTCTTGTAATGATTTGTAAAAATTTCAATAAAAATAACTTACCACTTCTTTCAGAATTTTATCCACAACGTCGGGCTCCTGCAGATGGAACACGAACCTGCTAGCTGGAACACTGGCCAGAAGTCGAAGTTTTGCGGCATTGGCTGTTTCTTTAGCCACTCCTGTCATTCCCACGGTAAAGAACTTAATGTCGTGGTGTTTTGCATTAGACGTTGCAGCAAAAATGTCAGGGTTTCTCGGGTGATCTACTCCATCTGTTAGAAGTAAGGCAACCTTCATGCTCTTTTGAGTGCCTTCATTCATGTAAAGCTGGGTGAGGTTTGTTATTGCGTAGGATGTAAAGGTACCATGGCCAATATACGATATTGGGGCGACACGTGCTTTGAAATTGTCAGGTCCCTTCCAGTCTCTGAAAGTCTGTTCGATGAGCACTGTACTGCTGTACTGCAGTAAGGCCATCCTCCAGCTGAAAGTCCGCCCTGAATTGAGCTGAACTCCTTTTAACTTGTCAACCATTTGCAAGACAAACTTCTTTTCTTGGTTATGGTTGTAGTCCTTTGCACTTTCTGAACTGTCCAGCAAAAAGGCCATTTCCAGAATGCAGTCTTCATCTGAAAAGAGAGTGCATATATCACTAAACTTAGCCCATCACCTGTTTTACTGTTCTTGTAAATAATATAAAAAAACATAATAAAGAAATAAAGGAATGCAAAAAGCTTAATTGCTCTGTGACTTTATGTCGGTAATGCACCCAACGAAGCCGAAACCCTATGGGTGAAGAAGAAGACCTGAAATGACTCCCAACTTTAGGAAGAAATGATAGGAGAAATCACCCAACTAAATTATTGAATGGAAAATAATATATGCTTACCTCCGCCTCCCTTCTCCCTTCATCTGCTTAACTACTTTCCATTCCATAATTTAGTCCTATTTGTAGTCTTCAGATGTCCATCCTCGGGGTGAGGTACCACAATAGGGTTCTCATATTACACTCAACACAGCGTTAGCCAGTCTAGTGTGAATACCATTACTACCGCTACATTATCATCATGACTCTCTATTATACATCTTTAGTTTGATTCCCCCTCACTGTTGTGGCAAGATTAAGCCTTTGAGGGGTATTTAGGAGTGTTCAAGACATCTTTATATAGTTCCAACGGTTCTTTTTTTACATAAGATATCGACATCATGGTGTCATTCCTAGCCACTTGTAAGGTGGTTTGTTTTTGATACATATTTGCACATATTTGCACCCTTACACTCATATTTATTTCTATTTTATTTCTGCTGTCCTGTATTTTTATAAGACTTGTTAATAAAGTTGTCTCAGATATTTTAATTTATTTTTCTATTTTCTGCACCAATGTTTGCTTGATCCAGATTAGTTCACAACTCTACGGGTGAATCCTGCTGTTAATTAGATTGCTGGAGGAAAGATAATTTGGTCACTACAAACTTACTCTTTGTTCTTAAAAAGATTATTATGCACATTTTTGGAAAAAAATCATCACTTCTCTGAAATTTACACCATTACATGAAATACTGACAGTCACCTATAATTAGTTTTTTTTTCATGAGTGGCTCCATTTTCTTTTAAACTAATATAAATGATTTAGAGTTAGAATGAAATCATAATCTAGTTCCAAAGAGGCAAAGTTAGGGCAAACATTGGAAATGAATAGGCAAAAAAGAAATATTGTTTGTTTTCTCTTCTAATTTGTAGGTTACCTCGTTGCTGACTGCAAGGTGTGGTTATTTCAATTTTCATTGTATTTTTATACTTCACACTTTACATATACATATTTGTTAAATATAGGAATAAGCAAACAATAAAAATGTAAAATACTGGGAAGTGACATAAATTTCAATGTAATTTACTTATAATTTAAAAGTAGAGTGTTTAATATACTATATATACTCTTCCTTAAGCTCTTTCTTGTCAACTTCTGCACCCACAGCACCCAAACCAGGTATCGGAGAAGGACGCAGACAGGTAGCAGACAGGACAGATGGATATTGAGGTGACAAAACACAACCCAGGGGAGAGGTACATCGTGGAATAACCAAGAAGATACATTTATCTATTGTAAATTCTGGAATTCACTGTCTCATTCATTATTATACATCGTTTTCAACCATGGGACTTTTGTTTGTTTTTCAGAACTTCAATAACATATATTTAGGACGTTTTTCAGAATGTCGCAGTTGAATTTTCTAAGCCAATCCGGAGGAAAGAAAATGACTGATAGGAATCAAATATCTAGTACCTCATCTTTATAATCCTTTCAACTCCTGACACATCCATCAAAGATAATGCCTCCGTGTCATGATAGCTCTTCTGAAAACACTTTCTTACATAACGTTAAATTACAAAATGTCACCTTGCTCACTGAGATTTGTTGTCTTTTCTGCTGTTGCTGTTAAGGCCTTGGGCTTGTATCGTCCCACTCTTCTTTCTTCATAGACATTCTGTGCCACATATTTTTGAATGTTTAATAAAAATAGAAGCCACCAAACCCGTGGGAACATAGCTGACCTAAAAAAAGAAAACACAAGATACAAATGAAATGTATGTGTAAATATGTGTTTGGTATAATTGTCGTTCACTATATATTCCTGGAAATTCTCCTTTTTGTGAAAAAGCCTGAGAGTGAAACACAGTTAATTTATTATTAGAAACCATCAAAAAAATAACACGATAAACCATCATTTAAAACCAAAAAGAAAAAATGGGTTAGACCAGGGTAGATCCACAGTTGTTATAGAACTATAACTGCGATGATACTTTGCCAACCCTAAGGCTGGGAATGCATCATGGGAGTCGTAGTCCTGTAACACTGTATGTCTACCTTTCGATCACCCGTGATTAAGGTTAAAAAAATAAATAAACTGTGTTTATTCTACACTATTTGCCAAAACACTGCAAAGGCCATGCTATGATAAGAAACTTCTTAAATTTATTGGAACAAAGTTTTCAACAACGTCTCGACCCTGCAATGGGTCCTTGTTAAGTGAAATACAACCATTCTAACTGCTAAATCTGACAACAGACTCGATACTAGTTTAAATAGAAAGCTGTTGGATAAAAATATGATTATGTACTTTACCAGCATTTCTCCTCCTCTTGTATTTAGAGCTCTTCCTAAGAGCCAATATATGAGAGTGAGAGTCTCAAATATGGAGAAATCAGATAGAATATTAGTTGAGATGACTGAAAGTTTTAACAACTAACACAAGTTGAAAATTTAAATAGATAGGAATTATTTCTGCCAAAAGTCAAGAGGGACACTAACACCAGAATTAAACTGATTTCATGTCACGGTGCTCTTTCTTCAGATATAAAAAGGATTGTTGATAATCATTGGCACATTTTGTCTGATTGTCATCCTGATATTGTAAAATTTGCCAAAAAGCCAATGTTGTCCTTTAAAAGATCTCCTTCAGGGATCAACTGGTAAGAGCTGAAATGCTTTCAACTTTTTTTTTTTTTGCAATGCATGTTTTTATTGAAATTTGTACTTAACATTTCATATTTTAACTGTGTATGTTGACATTCCATGATTCAGGGATCTGTCTTTTATCCTGGAAAAAAGTATTGCATTAAACATTTTCTTAGATGTTGTACTACCCATGCAATGTATATCTTAAAATGCCCTTGTAGCTTGACATATGTAGGATAGACAACTCAGAAGATGAAGGACATGATTTCAAAACATCAGCCAAAAATTAGGACAGTGTCAGGATTACAGAATGATCCAGCACGTAGAACTGTGTAACACAGAGGACTGATAGGTAACAAATACCAGACCTTAGAATGGCCGGACAAACGTACCAAAGAATAGTCAGGAATAGCTGAGGTCAAGGGAAACAGAAGAGACACAACGATAAGGAAAAGCCAGGAGTCAGGGATGTCAGAAAACAGGGAAGTCAATAACAATGCCAAAGTCAAATAACCAGAATCAATAACGCGCTCTCGGACAACCACAAGGGAAACCACGACAGGGCACTGAGCAGGATGAGAACTGGGCCTAAATACCCCTCCTCTTGATCTGATAGGCTGTAACTCGCCTTTGACTCCAAAGGCAGTTACCAGGTTTCATTTGCATAATTGCTGCTCAGCATTAACCCTTCTGTGGATTTGGTTGCTGCTCGGCACAACTTTTCCTGTGTGGACAGTAAATGTCATTAACCACATTTTTATAGGCGGATGAATACGTGACAGACAGGTCTAGTTGATTTGCCCATTTTTTGGAAGCACGTCACAATGTATCACAGCTGAAATTTCAGATAATGGAGCATGTCACTGAGTGTTTAAGAAGAGTTTTTAAGAAGGGGTTATAGAGTGAGGAGATCATTGTTACGTGAAGCCTTTTGGATAAGAGAATTAGATACTTTACACTTTAAGAGCTTAAATAATGAATATGATCTAAGTACAATCATTGGTGCTGGTTTATTGTCACACCGTCTTTTTTTTGGCTCTCCTCTTCTGTGGGTATTTTAAAATAATTAATTTATCAAATGATTTACTTGGCACTGCTTGAGATCATGAGTTTATTATATTAGTTAATTTCAAACTATTTTTCCCTTTTTTATTGTTCTTATTTAATGTATGCACTGTCACTTTAATAAATTCCTATTATGTATTGCGCCATACGCAGTTCTGCTGTGCACATGCTAGGTTCCTTCTTCTCCATGTTGGTGCACGGTTGCGTCACACGTCTTTAGTTACTAGACCTGTGGGCATGCAAGTTTTCTTCTGCTTCATGTCTATACATGGTTGTATTACACGCCTTTTGTGTTGCTTCCGTGTATACTAGGCGTATGTCCCCAACATGTTCAGAGACTCTGTTATAGTCCCAACCGATGCATCTAAGCGCATATTATTTCGGTTTTCTTTTGTGCCTTCCCAGAATTTTTCGGTGACAATTTTTCACCAGTCGCCTCTTACCGAGTGTCCATTGTTTTGATTGGTTAACAGATTTTCTAGCACACATGATGAATGTTATGTTATAGTCAGTATATCATTTGATTATTTCATTATGTTACTTGGTGTTATGATGTATGTCACTTTACTAATTTAGTATGATTGCTAATTTACTATAATTGTACTGCCTATAAATTGGTTGTATTTCACTGTGGGTGTCAGTTTGACAAAGACCCATTGCAGGGTCGAAACGTTGATGAAAACTTTGTTCCGATTGTTATACATTGGGCATGAATAACAAACTGTCCCACTACTATTCTGACACTAAATATACCAATACTACTTTTCCAGTCTATCTCTGTAGGAAAGTATATCATAATTTGCACAGCGTGATATAACAATATACTGACAACAGCTAAAAGATACAATATTTACATTATCTTATGTCAGGACAAATCATACCATTTGTGTCAGTCTATGGCAGTCAGTATTATAAATAAAGCCATATATGGTACTTATGGAATGTGTTCCATAGAATTCCATATTCATAGAATATTACACGGCTGGTTTATTACACAGCTATATTGTTGTTATCACACATTTATGATACTTAATGGTTGATATAATTTTTATAAAATGTTTTACGTGTTTTTATTCAGGATTAGTGAGGGTAAGTTATAAACAGCAATTACCAGCCAAAGCTCTAAAACTTGAGCTGTCACTATGGAAACCACAGGAGTTTTTTCTGCTGAACCCTCCCCCCCCAAAAAAAAGACAAATGTAATCTAAGCATATAAATACTCCACTTGAAATACATTTTGGGTTGTTCATCTTCAAACATTTTGGTCTATCTGGTTTAAGAACACATTTTTGTGCTAGAGAAATCATTTTCTGTTTTTGCAGGCGTGGATTACAGGAAAAGGAAGATATGTAATTGTTTAGAATTTTTAAGTGTCAGTTTCACTTTACTTCTATTTTTTGTTTTTGTTTTGTGAAATCAGCAACCTCTGCATGTCATAATGTTTCTTGTAACACGGGTTTAGCACACTAGTAATCTTTTCGCACAGTTTCTCCACCATAACACTATAGTATACCTTCTAACAGTCCTAACTGAAATACTGCATGAATATTTGGGGACCTATCCCACCATCTGGGGATTGCTTTCTGGTGTCTTGCATCTAAGAACACAAGAGAGCAAGTCCCATAAAGTGTTGTACCAGTGCATCATAAAATGGGCTTGTCCTGTGTAAGCAGCAGTGAAGGCATTCAAACCATGGGCAGAGTAAGTTATCAGTGGTATGTGCATGCATTGACACCAGTGGGGTTGGCTAGAGTGACTGGCAGTCAACCTTGTATTCATTCACGCCAGACTGGAATGCCAGGTTGAGCCTGCCCCCTTTTTGTACACACCCCTTTAGTCCTTCCTTATCCTGTACCTTCAAAGTGTTAGACAATGTTTAATGAAGAACTTCTTGAATCCTTGAGGCATTAAAAAGAACCTTATTGGATTAAAATATTGTCTTTTGTGGGTAGGGTCTATGAGAAACATTTCTGATAGTTCACTTAGGTGAATGAAAAAGTAGAATATTATTACAATTTACTTAAAGGGAACCTATAGTCCTGAAAATATAATAATTATTTTTGTACCATACATTATTTTACATTACAGTCTTTTCCCACCCCCTTTTAAGTTTCATATATTTTGTTCTGAACTAAGAAATCAAGGTTGAGAGTTATCAAAATGCTTTGCACATTAGAATAATACTGAACACTTATAAAAATAATTTAACTAACATGGAAAGTCATCAATTGTTGCCTACAATTTTAATTTCACTATAATTTGATATTCAATGAATAACCCCCACTGTGTTGCCACATGGTGCTAAAATAGAAAAAAAAAAAAAAAAACCATTCAGGTTTATTTACTAAAGTGAATTCAAAATTAATTTTAAATGTAAGGTCAAAATAGCTGGTCTTAATGGTCTTAAAATTTAAAATTCATTTTAGTAACTAGACCTGCAAGTAGAAGAGTACTCGGCTAAAAACCAAAAACATATACCACTCACCACAAAAAAAATAATAATAAAAAAAAATAGTATTGCTTATAACAAAGAAAGGAAATATGCATAATTTCACTCACTCTTTTAGACTTTAAAGTATTTTCTAGTCAAAAGAAAATCAAGAGGATATGCTGGGGGTCGTCCACTAGGGGGTGATCAAGAGCTCACTCAGCCAGTTGTTCCAAAGTCCTGGTTTCTCTTTGCTTATAGTGTAACATAGAAACATAGAATGTGACGGTAGGTAAGAGCCATTCGGCCCATCTTGTCTGCTCAATTTTCATAAGACTTGTATTAGTCATTTATATCTAGGATAGCATTATGCCTGTCCCACGCATTGCAGTTTATTGATAAATCTTCTATGCGCCATAGTGTCAAAAGCCTTATTAAAATCTAGGTAAGCAATATCTACTGCACCACCCTGATCTATTAGTTTAGTTACCCAATTAAAAAACTCAGCAAGATTAGTTTGGCATGATCTCCCTGAAGTAAATGTTCAGTATTTTGGAAACGGCTGAGCATAGAAAGTATCTATACACAGCATATGTTCCAAGATGTATTTGTGTAATTAGTAAATACATAAAGGCTAATTTGCATATACTGCCCAAGATTTAAATTTGGATGCTAAGTAACTCTATATGGAGTTATTTAGTGTAAAATGTCAGGAATTACAAGTGAATTTTAGGTTTTAGGCCACAAAACTCTAGTGCTCAAGGCCTCCTATTTTATGCTGTGAGCAGGAAATGAGTGGCTTGTCCTAGGGTCCTGGAGAAACCTCTATTTGTTTTAAAACACACTGATAAAAAAAACAGTTTCCTAGCGCCATGACTACTATATAAAGCTGTAGTAGCTATGCTGTATGAAGTGTCCCTTAAAAGCAAAAAATTTGGCTATTTGATAATGATTAACTTAAATGGGAGCAGTAGCGGCTCTATCGATCTCAAATGTGGATCATACAATGGAAGATTTGTATATCCACTCCCATAGAACATGTCAACAATAATTTAGAATTTTGGCATGAGATTATGGATTAAGCGTTTGTTATAAATGCTCATATTCTGCTTTCAGTTTGGTAGCCCTTTGTCTTTGCATTTTCTTGCAATTTCTCAATTTGTCGTTGCCAGCTCTTTTTCAGTTGTGTTTTCATTTTATAAACCTTTTTTTTTATTTTTTTTTTAAATCGATCCACATATGATCTACTATACTTCCTACTTTTGTAGGACCTCATCCCACATCATTTAGATTGTTTTTAAGGTCATTGATATGTTATTTGATGTTTTATATTTTTATTACAACATTTTAAAGTTCTACAGAATAAGTTGGCATTACTTAAAATACAATAATAATAATAATAATAAATTGGATTCAATCACAGTTGCAATGGGTACGGTATTTTCACTGTTCTAACTCAAAAACCCAAAAGATTAATTACTTAGCTATTTGTTATAACATGCCTTTATTTCTGAACGACTCCTATTATTGGCATGTTTTAAAATGCTTACCAATCATTTCATTGACCTCTTTTTGTCAGCATCTAATTTTTTCTGGCTCCAGAACTCGCCACATAAAATGCATGCTATATTTAATGTGATTTCAAATATCTGCCCAAAGGCCATTTCTTAATTCTGTAGGTTTGTATAGTCTTTAAGGCATTTGGAAACTTAGATTTAACTAAGGAATGTTCTTGCTACGAGGGCTATATAACTGTGAAAATATGATTAAAATGCATACGTGGCAAATCAAAACCTATATGATCATGCTTTTTATATAAATATTTTATTGTGTGTTGATTATATAATGTAATATAACTTTGGTAATACAATCTAGTGAAAGGTGTTTACATTAAAATAGATGAAAAGGCTATTAATGGCAAGCCAAGTCAAATGCTCAAAATGTTTTGCTATGTTAGTGGCTAAACTAGGATCTTATCACTTAATATTAATTTCACTCCATTGACAACCAAACAATTACACTGAAAATGAAGTGATAAAAAAATATTATCCCTTTTTTAAAGGGGACCTATCATTTCTCTAGAATTCTTACAACTGAATAAAATATTGTAATCATACTTGTGTTAACGTTTTTTCACGTAACTCCTTTTTTAAAATCTATATTAAGATGTTTATGTTAAGATGTTTAATTTATATTAAGATGTAGCAAATGATGTCATAATCCAGTCCAGACAAGGCAAAACGTGGGCAAATATTGCTGATGAAGATGAGAAATAGAAACATTGTTTAATTTATTTCTAATTTTCTCTGTATGTTTTTTCTATTCTGACTGCCAGGTGCAAAAGACAGAGCTTGTAACAATGACTGAAAGGAGGCTAAGATGGAGGTGCCCAGTTACTTAATATAGAAGTATGGATTTCTAGATTAAATCTTAGTTTTCACACTTTACAAATACATATTTGTTAAATTCTCGAAAAGTGACAGTTGCCCTTTAACAATTACAATATCTTGAGTTGTGGGCCATCCTGTTGTATTTACGTACAGCCTTTTCCTTAACTTTATTACTAAACAGTGAATTGTAGTCTAGTGAATACGTAATTGCAAAAGTGAGGTAAAAATAGTTCAACTGGAAAAATACCAATTGAGACTCATAATGAATGTTAATGCTGTGTGAATGCGTGTGATGTTTAAAAGCTAGTTGGTAGAAGATCATATCTGTAAATAATCACTTATAGCTGCATGCACATTTAATAACACACTACTACTGTTCTGTTTTGGTGATTATCCTTGGTGACTGTGAGAAACTTGAGTCTCAGATTAAGACTGTCCCCTCAGACACCACTTAATCTAGAAGAGGTATAAGGGTATTTCCTGTATTGTAAAGATGTAAGCTCAAAGTATAGACGACTATGTCAAGATGAGATTTACCCATAAGAAAGGAGATTTCAGACAGCTCCGGGGTTGGAAGTCACAATGTTACGATAGGACATAAGCCCAATTCAGGAAAAGCTCCATTACATTTAAATTGGAGTGTGTGTCACTTTCACTGTTTAAAAAATCCTTTGTACCATGATATATGAAATCAAATAGATTGTGATCATCTTCTTGAATATTCTACATAATTGTTCTGTAAGAAACCTTCTGTATCACCCATCAAAATACTGCTTTTCCAAAAAGGAACCCAGTGGGTTCCATTTCCCAGGACAGGACATATAGCGGTATATAGCAGAAAGTGTTTCAATATATATGACATGCCCAGACAGTTATGATGTTATTGGGTTTACCAAACTTAATGAAAGGTCTAAGACAAAATCTAAATGAATGTCTGCTACAGGAAATATATATAGAAAAATTACTCTTTCTTCTCTTAATGCACATATTGAGCTAATTCGTCATACATAATGTCAAGATGTTCAAAAAAACTAATTTGCTGAATGAGTTGATAGTATCTTGCATTATAGTGATTCAATGATGAAGATAGACAGACATACAGATAAATAGATAGATAAAAAGACAGACAGACAGATAGATAGATAGATAGATAGATAGATAGATAGAGAGATAGATAGATAGATAATAGATGACAGATGGATAGAAAGATAGATATATAGATAGAAAGATAGACAGATAACTAGATAGATAGATCGATGATAGATAGATAGGTGAAGCTTGTTTTAGTGTAAAATAATGCCATCAAAAAGTAAGATATCTGAAGACATCCTAACAAACCATGACTTTGAAGATAATTTTCAGTTCAGACTAGGTTTTGCCTTTCTTTAATCTCGAGGCAGCATGGGTTATGCATGTCCTGGCCTGCCTGAGACTAGAGGGAGTTACTATGTCAGGCAGAAGCTGCTATCTTTTATAAGGTCTCTCTCCTGTTACTGACACACCAGAATAAATGCTGGGGAGACACAGACAGTGCTTGTCCCTCACCCCAGCTTCCATCATGGCATATCTTTAAAGAATGATATTCTTTGTGGGAAATTGATTAATTAATTACAAAAAGTGTAACTCCCACCCATCTTAGGCAGATCACACATTGTACTGAGTGCAGTCAGAGGAGGACAGACCATAAAGTGACAGTAGGCGGCCACCTAGGGTCCAGGGGTTAGGTAGGGTCCCAAAACCATGTATTATCTTGTCACTGTTGACCATCCCAATGTGAAGAATAAAGGGGAGAGACAAGCGGTAACCTGTCTATGAATATGTGGGATCTTAATCCTTCTCTGAGTGCACATTAAATAACAATTTTGTTAGTGAATATTCTCTTAAATTTTTGTTATCCTTATTCCCCACTAAAGGTCCACTAGTGTGATTTTTTTTTTACTGCAATAGGAAATATGAGCATATAGATCTGGATCACACAATTACTAATATTTGCTTAAATATTCATATATGTTATGATATATCTGAGAAGAATTTATGTATGATCTTTGATTTAGGATATAATGGTTTTTGATTCCATAAAAGTGGTTCCCAAACCAGTCTTCATGATCCCCTGTGCGAAAGATTCCTGCAAAGCTGTATCCCTTATCTTTTTTCAGCAAATAACAGAATTTGGAAAATGGGGGGGGGAGGGGGGAAACTTAGAAATGGTTTTCTTGAAATTCTAAATTTTTCCTAATTGTGTTCTATTTAGACAATACACTAACTAAATGCACAGAACATGTTTAGCTATGAAAATAAACATGCATAAATGCTCCCCACCTCAAATTGATTTAAAGGGACACTATAGGCACCCATACAACCCAATCTCATTGCAGGGGCAGAGGGCTTAGTTTTACATTTCTAACCCTATATAGTTCCTTTAAACATGTCTTTTTTTTTTTTACCCCTTTCATATATTGTGTGGATCAAATTACATCTAGCATGTACTTACACATATGTACACATATGTATAATACAGAGAGAGTCCTGACAAGTTAAAATTATTTGTTACTATAAAAGGAGAAAAAAGCATTTGGAAAATAATCTGGGACTTTTTGTGTCTAAATCTATCTAAAGAAAAAGATAAAATTGAATTTATGCTGAATTCTCATATCGAAACATTATCAAAACATTTAGTTAAAATATACCCTTGGCATCTTCAACTCAATGAGGTTGTTATGGTGCCTGGAGTCCCCTTGTGCCATCTTACCTTAAAGTGTTAAGCCAATCTCAAATGGTTTTAACATTTAAAGGGTTATTTTGGGCACCATAACAAGTTCATCAAAATTACATTTTTACGATCCCTGGAGCTGACTCACCTTTAGTGGTTAAACCCCAAGGTGTGTTTCCAGTGCGGGATCACTCTGTCTCCCTGTCCTTCCATTATTTGAAATCCTAGATAAAGAAGGCTCTGGCAGCATTGGTTAGCTAATGCTCCAAGCCAATCAGTTGGCTTACAGCATTGGTTAGCTGATGCTCCAAGCCAATCAGTTGGCTTACAGCATTGGTTAGCTGATGCTCCAAGCCAATCAGTTGGCTTACAGCATTGGTTAGCTTATGCTCCAAGCCAATCAGTTGGCTTACAGCATTGGTTAGCTGATGCTCCAAGCCAATCAGTTGGCTTACAGTCAATGTCAAGCTGTGCAAGCCATTTTTTTTTTTGAGAAACCCTCACTCAAGGATATTTGCTAAAATGAGAATTCCAAAGAGAAAACAAGGTGATTTTTACATTTAAGGTCAAAACTAGCTACTTTAAACTAGCCACACTGGAAAAAAAATTTAAATCAGCTTTGCTTTCCATTCCGCTACCTTGGCCTTAAATTTGAAATTTGAATTTGAATTCACCTAGAATTCTTACTTTAGTAATTAACTCTCTCACTGCATAAACCTGTCGGGTTTAACCCTTAAAGTACGAATTGTCATTCAAATGAATTTCCAATGTTGGGGCCAATACAGTCAAACTGAAGACATAGCTGCCAGGGACACATTTTTATATCTGGCCATTTTTACCTAAATATTTAACATTAAATTCCGAACAAAGTACACTTAATGAATAACTCTTACAGCATTCTTTGTACCCAGATAAACTTACAATGACTTGATTTGTAACAATACTGACACAACACTGGCAAGGAAAACGTTAAACAAGTTTATACAATGATGCAGGGATGTTGGTATCATCAATTTATGATGTAATGGGCATATTTATCAAACCGAGAATTAGGAATATTTATCAAAGCAAAACAGGATCATTTTAAGCAAAGAACATCTATTTTTTTTTTCTTTCCATTGGTCCCAAATTATCACTTTGCCTCATGGTTGCTCTAATTTTCCCAATAAAAGTCCATTCTGTTTTCACAATTCCAGCTGATAATAATATATAATATAATTATACATTTGCTTATTATCGTGTTTTGAAAGGAAATGATCTCTCAGGTACCAGAGTGGGGATGACAGTCAACTATAAGTGGAAGCACCTAAAGGTGCAATTGCATTAACCAGCAAAAGAGGGGTAACAAATAGTTTGAGCTCACAGTCTGCAAGTTTGCTAATTATAAATTTACTTATTACCATATCAGGACACACCACTTACAGTGTTTCATGAAAAAAAATATTTTTTTTTCTTTCTATGCCCCATCAAATAATTTTCAGGCATAGCACATATAAAGCATTAAATACAAGTGACTTATTTGTGTTCAAACCATTAAAATATATAAATCTTTACTAGTTAGTTGGTTTTAAGAATGTCACCAATTGTAATAAAAAATTGACAGAAAAATCAGCAACACACATTCCTCATAGATGAAAGTTACAGGCACAAATAAAACATTCTAAAGTTACAAATGCTTTACATGCTATCAAAATCAACCCAAAATCTATGCACTATTTTAGACAGATTAATCAATCAGTTCGCTTGGCAGTTTGACATACAGATGCCAGTTGGTTTTTCCACACATCTTTAGATTTAAAGCAATGAATTAATTAATTTCCAAGGTAGTTACATTATTATTATCATTATTTATTTATAAGATAGTAGCTAAGAAATTACTTTTGCATCACTATGACTCATTATGGCTTTCACAAGTTCCCCATGTCACTTTAAATTAAATTTGCGTTCTGTAAGGGATTCATCCCATAAATATAACTTTAAACCAATAATGCTTTCTAAAAATAATGTGAATTTTAAGATATTTCGACTTAATATTTTTGCTCAAAATAGGTGATTCAATTTCCCAAACAAACCTACTGTATGTAATAAAGTTCATGTTACTTCCAGTTACAGCATAGTTGCCAAAACTACTATACCATCCATAAACTGATTGAAATAAGCATAGGATGATGTGAAACTCATTGTATCACGTTTACCTGTGATGTGTTTATGGAGATACAGTGAAGGCAGGTCTTAGGATGCAGAAGGAATTGGATTCAGATGCTTTTTGCCAGGGGCTCCTTTCCCATGTTACTGCAAATCCCCTCTTGTTAGATCTGCAAAGAAAAACTCCAAGTCTATCCTTATAACTGGGGGTGGGACAACCCATTGCTGCTGTCAGAAGAATTTAAATAAATGGTCTTTTAAGAAAAGAGGTGAAGTGTATAGTGGCAATACTATCTATAATCTATCATATTGTTATATTTGTAGGCTATATGTTTAAATGAATGCCACTGTCATATTACCGAGTGGTATGATAAATGCCATTGGCAGGTGTACTTATTAGACATTTTATTGATTTGAGACAGTTTTATTTTATGATTTTGGTTATTTCTGCCTCCCCTCCCCCCATAAAACACATGGCTATCTACATGCTTGACTCAATTGGGTGTATAGCTAATATTCTGTCCATGGGTGAATTGAAAATGAGGGAAGGTTTGATGCAGTGGTGTCCCGGGCCCCGGGCCCCGGTGTGAAAACTGATCCCCCTCCATTTCCCCCGTTCCCCTCTCTCTGATAAAGCGCTGACCAGGCCCCCTGAAAATCCATCTCCATCGGGTGGCCCTAACACCATGGGTCCCTTGAACGGTGGCCCCAGCAGGGCCGCAAAACATGACGGTGGGCACGCGATTGCAGGGGTCTGCAGGACCCCCTGGAGTGACGGGCCTGATCACAGTTGCGACCCCTGCGATCCCTATATGTACCACTGGTTTGATGCATGAATCTTTTGGGGGTTGCCCCTTTCTGTAGATGGTGACATCACAGTTCCTGCTGATCTAGATGAGAAGAGAAAAATCTGTACTCGCCGAGACACAAATTACTCTTCTGTGCTCACTCTTAAGGCATTGCACTCTAATATTTGCCTTCTCTAAGTTATATGGAGTGCTGGGGATGGGTGCTGAAATCTCCTGCTTAATGTACTCAGACTATAGTTCCCTAGTCACTGTTTAGGTGACCGTGCCCCTGGTACCAGAGTTAAAAGGCTTTTTTACTTATCTTTTCTCCCTCCCTGCGCTGGTCTCTGACATCCACTCGGCCTCTTTGACAAGATTGACGTTCCCAGCCAATCCAATGCTTCCTCATAGGGAAGCACAGTGAGGCAATTGCATAATGCAGAATGGCAATGTTTTCAGCTACATGGTTGAAACGGAGGGGACATGACTCCCAGACCACTTCATTGAGAGGTCAGGCTAGGGTCATTGAGATGAAGTGGTCTGGGTGCCAGTAGGGTTCTTTTAATTAACGGTCGCCTTAAGTGCAATCTTAGTTGTTACATAGTTTTTTTTAACTCTTACAGTTCAGCAGAGTAATATATTTTGAATTATTTCTTATTATTTCCTATCAAAAGTGGATTTCTGCTTTGCAAACCAGTAAAGTAAACTAATTTTCTATCAAAGTGCAAATTGTTTCTTCAAGTCTATTCTTTTTGTCCCCTGCTGAAAAACAGTAAATTGAGACTTGAGATCACTCACGAAGAAAAACAAGATTGGATGTTAAAAATAACATGATTGTGATGAGTACAAACTTCATTACCCCAGAGAAAAATAGATACAGTCATGTCTTGATTTACATCTAATGTAGAGGACATTAGCGAAATTCCCATAGATCAAGTATATGACATTTTTTTTAACCTTTCTAGAATGATATATTTGTGGCTGAAATTACATTTCAGCCTTATATTATTGGTATCTTTAATCAAAAATAGGCATAAAAAGATATCCATATGTTTGCATTTTGTCAAATACCCACACCCAGTCCCCACTTTCCTTACATTATGGCCATAAAATATGCCTCCCTTTCCTAAAATTTGTAATCTTACAAAACTCTAATTCCAAATAGACATATGCAATTTGTTTCGGTCTGAATTTAAATTCGGGCGAATTTCGGCAATTTGTACATTCGGATGCTTCCAAATGTCCGATTTGCCGAATTTCAGAAGTGCCAAGCTGAACTGAATTGCCAAAGTGCCGATTTGCCGAAGTCCCAAATTGATGAAGTGCCGAGCTGAAACCGAATTGCCGAATTGCCGAAGTCCCGAATTGCCGAAGTGACGGATTTCGGGAGTGCCGAACCAAATTGCCCAAGTGCCGAATTTCGGAAGTGCCGAAGAGCTTCGGATTTCTGAAAAGCGTCAAAACAGGAGAGGGAGGTAAAATTAAGGGAATGATGAAGGAAATCTAACCCTAGCCCTAACCCTATACATACCCTAACCCGACCCCTAAACCTACTCCTAACCCTACCCCTAACCTAACCTCAACCCTACCCCTAACCCTACCCCTACCCCTGACCTAACCCTAACTCTAGTAGGGTTAGGGTTAAGGTTAGGGTTGGGGTTAGGGGTTAGTTTAGGGGTAGGGTCAGGCTAGGGTAAGAGGTAAGGGTAGGGTTAGGGGTAATGGTAGGGTTAGGGGTAGGAGTAAGGTTAGGGGTAGGGTTAGGGGAAGGTGTAGGGTTAAGGTTAAAGGTAGGGGTAGGAAATTGTGAAGTCCAGAATTCCCGAAGTTCTGAAGTGCTGAAGTCCTGAAGTGCCGAAGTCCCGAATTTCGGAAGTGCCGAACCAAACCGAAGTGCCGAATTGCCAAAGTCCCGAATTGCCGAAGTCCAGAATTTCAGAAGTGCCGAACCGAACAGAATTTTTTGCCCATGCACATCCCTAATTCCAAGTGAACATTCTATTGAATGTAGCCATTTAACCAAAACAAAAAGGCAAAGATAAAAAACGTCACATTCATTTAATTATCTAATACAAATTTTACGAGGAGCCCAAGTTAGATGACAATGATGAATTGTAATTAGGGAAACCTTCCATTACATCTCCTTTGGGTATAGCAAGGACCTGTGGTTCTCAAATCTTCAGCAAATATTAAGTAACTGGGGATGTAAAGTAACCCCTACTATAGCCTGTACTATTCATATGAGTGCATGACTTTTTGAAAGATGAAGAATTTGTCCTAGAACTGTCAGACCAAGGTATAGTAAAGCTAAATGTAACAGCTATGTGTATTACAGTAAACCTAGTAGCCTAGAAATGTCAATGGAGACATTGATATGTGTCTATTATCTATCCCAGGGGTGACTAAAAGGTAGATCACCAGATGTTGTAGAAATAAATCTTCCATTATGTTTTGTTATTATAAAGCATTCTAAAGGCAGACAAAGCATCAACAGAGTTGTAGTTTTACAACATCTGGGGATCTACCTTTTGGGCACCCCTGACCTATACAGTCAATGTGAGGCATCTGAGATGGCAGTTGGCACTGCATCTCTGCATGATCATTCAGTATAGCCATCCACTAGTGTAGTAAAATGTTGTTTTATCATATTTTGCAGAGAAATCTCAGGATAAACATAAAGTAGCTTCTAACCAATATGATCTTCGTGACATATAGCTTGGTGCACACTATTCTCAGATCCTTTGATAATTATCCATCATTCTCTCAATGGAACTGAACTCATTATTTAGGTGTACGTACAGGTATGTAACATTGGTTCCACCAATAACAGCTGATGATATAACCTGTGGACCTTTGTAAGCCTAAACTATGATGCAGTTTAAGATTGATTATTTGATTGACACACAGAAAACCATGTTTGCACCTTTTCAACTACTGAAACTAATTTCCAGAACATGTAATTCTGCATTCCAACATGTACCATGAATTATAAATGGCATTTTGTTACTTTACCTGTCATTATCTTACAGTACACTCCATATATATATCTTTCTTCACGCACATGCACTAATTAAATGAACAGTTACTCTACTCCCTTATTAATAAATTATTTATTATATATATTTTTTTACTATTGAATTAAAGACTGTGATATCTGAAAAAGACACATGAGTAACCTCAAGAACTTACACTGTAGCACAAATTAATTACTCAATAAAGGCACATTGTTTTGATAATTTCCCATTTTTGAATTTTAAGTACTGCATGATTAAATGATTTTAATTAAGAAAACACTTTGCAGGTTGCAGAATGTATCTGCATGAATTATGTATTTTTCCAACTGTTTAAATCTCCCTTTCTGTGAAAAGAGCTGTGTAAATAGGTAAAAATAGCTGAGCCAGCCCCCGTATATATACCGAGATTTAAATAAAAGACCCAAATAAAAAATGGTATACAGCAGTGCAGAGCAGATATCAGTGCTTATATTATATGATAGGAGAGCTCAGTTGGTTAATGCACCAGCCTTTTTTTCCAAGCTTGATGATAGTGCTGAGAAAAAAAATGGAGAGCTTCACTATTGTTGTTTCTGGATTTGATAGGTGAGGCCTAAAGGACTGAGATGGAGATGAAAATGAAGGTATTTACAGGTCTAGATCCTAGACCCCATTCACACAAAACCCACTCACACATTGTTTCATTGTCTCTCCTCCTGCTGGTGATGTCTCTCCAAACCTATGGCCCTTCACCTCCTCTGGTCACACTTAGTCAGCCAGAAACCACATGTCAGTGCCCTGTCATTTCTCCTCATTCACTGATGTTCGGTATCACTGTGCAACCCCCGCTCTGTCTGCCCCTAACTGAAATCTACAGCTATACACAACCTTTTAATTTCAATTAATCTATCACCCTACAAGCACTCACTGAGACCTGGTGGTCCCCCTCTGATATTGTTACTCCTGCTTCTATGTGTTTCGGTGGCCTAACATTCTTCCACACTCCCAGACTTAACAACTGTAAAGGAGGCAGTATACCTAATATTTTCCTTCCTTTGAAGTTCACACTTTCTGTCATTTTAAACCCGCTGCTTTAAGAGTTGTCTTCATTTATCGCCCACCACCCGTCATCCTAGCATAGTCATTAAACACTTGTCTCCCTGGCTACCACACTTACTCTGCCCTAGCACTCTATTTCTTATCCTAGGGGTTTTTTAATTTCCCAAGCTACAACAGCTCTGATGCCTCTCGACTGCTCTCTGTAACCTCCACCTTCTGCGTCATGCAATGGTCTAACTCAGCAACTCGTACAGCAACTCATTTATCTTCACCAATCTCTGTACTGCCTCTTATCTCTCCAATGTTCCATATGCTCTATCTGATCATGATCTGCTGACATTTATAAATGCTACCCTTACCTCTTGTGCCACTTTACCCCACTCCCTCTAGAATGTAGGTACGTTTGAGCGTGGCCCTCTACACCCTCTGTTCATGTGCATCTAACTCGCCTTGTTGCAAATACTTGTCTGTTAGTCTACCGATTGTACAGAGCTGCAGACTTTGTTGGCGCTTTATAAATAATAAAAATTGTCCATTCACTCCTTCC